GTATATGTTTATACCTGGGGTCAAGTAAAACATCCTGAAAAACATACCAGGACAGGATGCATATAAGCTAGTGATAGTGAAATTTACTTTTACTTTAGCTTTTACTTAAATTCAGATCAATAAAACAAACCTGTAGCGTAGTAGGTGAGGAATGAGTATGAGGAAATTGATTATACAAATTGATCGCAGTATGTCCCGTAAACTGAACTGTGAACAAAATGCGAAAAAAACCAAACTGTTTGTCTTGAACAGATTTTAAGAAAAAAATATATCTAACAGAATCACAGTTCCCCTTCACCCAGCCCGCCGAGAAGAAATAGATTGGTATCTAAGAAGCTGGAGTTTCAGTGATGTGACACTCACCTAAATATATATATATCATTAAGAGCACCCCAACACGACCACCTGATAGCTTATCACCAATATTATTTGTATATTACGGTACCCTCCGTGCTATTACATATTATTTTCCGACCGCTTCTAACAATTTCACATACAAATCGCATTCCTGTACTGGACTATTGTACAGAAAACAACATCTTCTTTACAACACACACTTGGAGAAATGCGATTGTTAATGGCCAAAACGAAATACAAACGACCGTAAGAGGGGGGATGTATTTGTTTAAAGAGAGAATCTCACCCTCTCGTGTCTTTTGATATCAAATATATCAACACGAGTTGATAAAAGTGGAAAAATTCCGAGGCTTGCCGAGGATTTTTGCCACTTTTATCAACGAGTGTAGATATATTTGATATCAAAAGACACGAGGGTGAGATTTTATTTATCATCCAACATCATTCTTCCAATTTTTTCAATTTGTAGACAGTAATTAGCAGTGTCTTCAGTGTAAAAAGTACTGCTAACAGCTTCAGTAGCAGAGCCATTAGTGATGTCATTTGATTGTGACGTCATGGTAACCAGTGACGTCAAAATGGTCTGCAAAGCATTGTGGTGTAATTTCATTGCAGCGATATCTACACTGTAGATATCGCTTGATCTAATCCAAGCGATATCTCCTGTGGGAGCCAGTTTTGGATGATAGATAGAGGTTATCACGCTTGTGTGTTTGGGGATGGTAAATATCCTGCATTAGGAATAAACATTGTATTTAGCGAGCCTTGGCGAGCTAAATACATAGTGTTTATTCCTAATACGAGATATTTACCATCCCCAAACACACAAGCGTGATAACCTCTTTATCATATAATGTCATTCTTTAATTCTGTGCTTCAAAATCGCTTTCCCTCTCTCACAAACATTGAAGAAACATTGCGAGTTTTCCTGGAATGCGCGCATTAATATTTATTACGTCACAGGGTAAGTGATGTGTCTGTCGGACAGTGACAGTAGCCAATATAGTTCCAACTGAAATCTGTTTCTTATACAGTGGCGAAGCAACATATACGCAAAACAACAATTGTTTTTAATTGCCTTTCGCGGCAATCCATCGGTCAATCCGCTAGAGTAACTGCCCTTTGTCAAAGGGAAGCTACTCTAACCCTAGTCTATGAGACGTCACGGCCACGGTCAGACGTTGTTGACAGTCGGTCTGTCCTGTCATTACAATAAGAAGTGTAGTCAGATGTACACACAGCGACAAAACGAAACAAGGTAACAATTCAAACATATTTCCGCCAAATCCAACTATTTTAATTTGTGGAGGAGGTTTCAAGCCGCAGGGGTCTACAAGCACAGATGTGGCTACTGATCCCGCTTGGCTAGGCCTCGTGCCCTCGCCAAATTGTTTCGAAATTTATATCTCCAAAGTTGACAAAACTTATAAAATGCCTTAGATACGTCACAGTTAGACACGACTTTCAGTATATTAGACTGTTCCTTTGATAATGATAGCAATTATCCCTGTAGTTTATCCAGATTCCCGATGGTTAATTCTGACTCGATCGCCGAATGACAAGGGCGACGCCATGTTTGTTTATAAACAGTGAAAGTAGTCCCTACTTGACCTTTGATATTTGCATCTCTATCCGCATATGACCCCAACGGATATCGTTTTTATCCGTTGGCTTTATCCTGCCGAGAAACCTACCCATTATATGATAAACGTAATTATCTCTTTTGGTAGGTGGAATCGATTACGTATATCACATAAATGCTTCAAAATATTGTTACACCTTAAAATTCTAACCTTGTAAAGATTATTAATGTAATATTCTGATGTATTCACAGCACGAATAATACTTTTAAAATGAATTCCTATGCAAATACAACACGTCAACGCCAAAGAACAACTAGCGTCGATCGCCAGGTTAAACAGATTCCATTGGGCGTAAAAGGCAAAACAGCGATAAACCAATATGAATGGATTACTGAAAGTCAGTGAAGACACCAGGAGTTCGCGAAAAGAGTAAGCATGTCCTGCCGTAGCGGTTGCATCCGTAAATTTGCAAAAACTCCAGTGACACCATAAACTGATTTTGATGACCCTAAAAACGATATGTTGATTTTGAATAACGTCTGATGTGTATGAATGCACATATTCCACTGCTCATAAGAAAAGAAAAACGTTTAGGAAATAAGTTCGTTTTGCATCAAGGTAAGGGGTCAGTTTTATTGTCTCGGTGGTGAAAATTATGTGCACGGATCACTGAAAAAAGCTTTCAAAACGTTTATCGTAGGTGGAGGTAATTTCCAAATTTGACGCATCCAGTGAGTGAGTGAGTGAGTGAGTATGGTTTTACGCCGCTTTTAGCAATATTCCAGCAATATCACGGCGGGAGACACCAGAAATGGGCTTCACACATTGTACCCATGTCGGGAATCGAACCCGGGTCTTCGGCGTGACGAGCGAACGCTTTAACCACTAGGCTACCCGACCGCCCCTACGCATCCAGTGACAATTATGATGTAATAGCAATAGCAATTCCCCTTTTTAACATTTGTTCCCGTATTTCTTTAGGTGAACACTTGACTTGTCTTTGCATGTATTTGTGGGGCAGGATATTGGCAAACGTCAAACACCTATCACGTTTTGATGATGATTAATTGCCACATACTTATGTTGCAGTCAGAATCTTACCATGGGCTCTGATTTCTTTTGATAAAGGAAAAAGTTCTACCACTTTTGTATTTATAAACTTATCACACGGACGTATCAACACACAAAGGACACATTTTTAATGACTATCCCCACAACCCTCAATTAAACACGTAGTAATAAGCACCATATGGAGGCGACCAAGCAATAATTCATTATAAGTACTTATAATAGAGCCTGGATGTGTCATTAACAATATTGAATGAGATTCTTTTCTCTGGCATATTATATTATATTTCCTATCATATTGAATCTGCTTTTAATACTGGATTTAATACTGTAGTTTCAACATCCTCATTATTTTATCATGGAATACAATTTATAGAAAAAACATAGAACAGTATAATAACTGAATGTGACCCGTGAAAATCCGGGGTAGAATAGGCCTTCAGCAACCCATGCTTGCCGTAAAAGATGACTATGCTTGTCGTAAAAGGCGACTAACGGGATCGGGTGGTCAGGCTCGCTGACTTGGTTGATGCATGTCATCGATCCCAATTGCGTGGATCGATGTTCATGATGTAAATCACTGAATTGTCTGGTCCAGACTGGATTATTTACAGACCGCCGTCATATAGCACGCATTGCTGGCGTGGAGTGTGGCGTAAAACAACAAACCAAACCAAAAGAAATAAATGCCTTTTTAGAATATGTTTGCTTTATTATAGACGATCACAATACTGCCCACGTGTATTTGTAACTCCAGGAAAGACTGAACGAACATCAACATTCAGTAAGAGTGAGTAAATTAAATGAATGTCGTTTAATTCCGCGGCCAGAAATATCAACTTACATCAAGACGCCTGTAAATAGTCGAGTCTGATAAGGCAAACCAGAGATTGAAAGAATGTGCAAGTCCGGTTTAGTCAAATTCCGTATGCATACCTGATGGTATTGCCACAGCTTCCTTGATGATACCTCATTGCAAAAAACTGAAAGTGCTGATGCTGCGTAAAACAATATTTATTCATTTATTAATGATACATTACCCATATTTTCGCTTGAGCGATATTTGAAAAAAGAAATACAAACAAATTGTTCAAAGCTGAAATGAAAATATAACCTTCATCAACGTGTATTGTTTACATATAATTTATTGTAATAATAACCTTATATTAACAATATCAATAATTGCAATGACAAGCACGTAGTTAATTAAACATCTATACATGTATATTAACCAACTGTGGTATTTTTCAGAAGATGCATTATACACTCTTCAAAACAAGAAACGCAATACGGATAATGCTGGCCATAAAAGCAAAATTAGCGGTGCAAAATGACAAATTTTCCGGATCAAAATGATCACACCAAGGACATGTCAACCATTAGTCGGGAAACACGTACGAATCGGAAAAAACGGACCCAGTGCATTTACAAAACGACCATGGAGCCGCACGTGCTGCACGTGCAGAAGCACTATGAACTGTATTAAAGTGCAGGGTTTGTGATTGCCTGGCTTCTGCGTCAGTCGAACAAAGACAGTTCAACAACATGCAAAGATAAACAGAAGTGCAAAGAAAACAACGTCACCGGCCGCTCGCAGGCAGGGGAACCCTTGATCAGCTGCAGCAAGGGTTTTCAATGCAGCACCCAGCACCATCACAAGGCTATGGGATCGGTTTCAAAAGCATGGGTCTACACGTGATCGGCCAGGGTCGGGACGACAAAGAGTAACCACCCCCGCCCAAGATCGCTACATCCGACTCCGCCACCTACGTGAAAGGAAGACCACAGCCACCTCAACCGCATCCCAAATTCCCGGACTGCGCAGAATCTCCGACCAGACCGTACGAAACCGTTTACGACCAGCAGGTCTACGAGCAAGACGTCCTGTTCGACGCGACATATTGAGTCGACAACATCGTCAACAACGACTGCATTGATGTCGTCAACACAGGGTATGGCCTCAACTGCGATGGAGAGATGTCTAGTTCAGCGATGAATCAAGATTTCTCCTCCTTCGAGGGGATGGAAGAGCACGCGTCTACAGACGTCGAGAGACTGCGTACAGGAAGTGGAAAGGTTTGGTGGGGGTAGCGTTATGATGTGGGCAGCTATCTTTCATCATGGTAGGACAGGTTTGGTCCATATCCAGGGCAATCTTACGGCTCAACGATACATCAACGAAATTCTCCTACCACACCTCCTCCCAATTGCAGCCAACGGCAACGGTGTATTCCAACAGGACAACGCTCGACCGCATACAGCACGGATCACAAGGGCCTGTTTAACAGCAACGTTGATGTTCTCCCCTGGCCTTCCAGATCCCCGATTTGAACCCGATAGAGCACTCGTAGGATGAATTGGATAGACGGCTCCGCCGACGTCAACCACAACCCCAGACTTTGCAGCAGTTAGCTCTTGCGTTGCAGGCCGAGTGGACTACCATACCCCAGGATGTGATTCGCATACTCGCCTCTTCCATGGACAGGGGATGTCAGGCCGCTATCGATTCCAACGGGGGACATACTCATTATTGATGGTAGCTGACCTTCACCTTGGACTTTTACTATGTACCGATAACTGAGGTGACTACAATCACCAAGTGTTCTCTCAATTTGGCTCAATACCTTGTACGTTGCTCATATAAATTTATTTTCCTGACACACACAAATCTGGCTTTGCGTTTACTTTTTTTTGAAGAGTATATATTGATTTACAATACAGCCGTACTTGGTGACCTCATAAACCAGTCATTCATGGACACCTCTATTCATGTTCAAGCGACCTGAACGATGTTCATACTGTCGGGCATATCACGGTGGACTTGCAGTTGGATTGAATTAGTTGTAATGTACGCCAGGAGATTGGCCATTTTGAGCGTATCTTTTTGCGATTATCAAGAGGGAGAAAAACGGATCTTGTAAAGTGACTTTCTTACATGCCTCAAATATGTTATGCTTGTCTCTTCTCATCTGGAGCTCCTGTCTGTCGTTGTGTGTTTTAAAAACCGAGGACAATGGTTTTTATTTCGGACAATTTCCTGAAAACTTTGTTTGGGGAGCAGGAACATCGGCAGAAGCTTGGCAGGATAGGGGTAAGTTTACATCGTTGCGCATCATCAAATATTGACTGATGCCTGATAATTTCAATATTAACTTGGTCGCTATATGGCTGAAATAATGTCGATGCGACGTTAAATTTTAACTCACTCACTGATAATGTCAAAATGCTCATCAGCAAATACAAGATATAGCAACTGCATATACAATATATCATCAATCATTGTCGTTATGCCATTTTCGTGTCCACTTCTAATTAAATTACTTTTAAAGAGACAGGCACCCCGTTGCTAGTTGACGCATGGGATCGGGTAGCCAGGCTCTTTGACTCAGCCGAATGCACTTCAACGTGCGCTGATGATTCATGCCCCAACAGAGTGATTCGTTTTTCATAGTTCTAGCAACTGGTTTGCCTGGGTCTGAACACATTACTGTCAGATATGCGGTCTGCATTCACTCGCTCCCTTCCATAAAATCTTAATATATCTGAGCTGACACTAACTAGGTCCTCTGACCCTTGTTATCACGAATTGTCAGGTAACTTTACCTCCAGTTCGTCATATCCGGTTCTCACAGGAAGTTGTGGCAATGATGCAACCATACATGGGCATTCCGAATAACGCTTGCTAAACATCCTGACTTCAAATATTACAATACATATTACAAAAGTGTATTTCTTTGGTAACACGAAGCTTCTTTTATCGTAAACAAACTTGTATACAAATCTGTGGCATGTAGTAATGATTTCAGCATTGAATATTTGATGTATTATTTTATACAGATCGCAACCCCAATGAGTGGGATGCATTCTCTCACCCATCCGGCAAAACAGACCAAGGAGACACGGGCTACGTTGCAGCGGACATCTACAGCCAGGACAGCGGAGTTATCAACATGCTCAAAGAAATGGAGGTAAAGATAAAGATTTAACTTCAGTCTCTTTCCTTCACAAAACTGATAAAGTGTGGAGTTCATTTCCATGATATACGAGTACAGTTAAGTACGCTTATAACGAACACGCTTATAACGAACTAACGGATATAACGAACTAACTTTTTAGTCCCGACTATGTGCTGTAGTTACGCTGTATATATGCTTATAACGAATTACGGTTATAACGAACTAAAACTAGTAGTCCCTTCGAGTTCGTTATAACCGTAGTTTACTGTATATGGTTAAATGAAATTTGAAAGTTGTCAACAATAATATGATAGTGAAGGAAGCTTTAGAGATGCAATGTCTTATACGGTCAGAGTAATAGTATCATCAACAGACACGGGGTAGCAGCTTGGTTTACTCTTATTTGATCATTGTTTACGAAACAACCTGCAATTTATCAATATATCGTTAGGGGCACGGGTGGCCCAGTCGTCTAAGGCGCCGCGATTCGCTGTGCACAGTTGCGTACCTAGGGCATGCCAGAAACCTATGATTGTGGGTTCGAATCCCGGTTCGCCCCGATTATGTTTCTAGGTTTGTCAGCACCATACCCGTGCTCGTGGGTTTCACCAAAGTGGTAAACGTCTGAGACCTGCATCCCTTCGGGCTTTCTTCCCACATTAAGCTGACACGCCGCGATATAACTGGAATACTGTTAAAAGCGGTGTTAAACCCAACTCACTCACTCAATATATCGTTGGTTCAAACCACTTGTCCAGCAGCCCTCTGGATCAGCATTTTTTCTACGTTATAATTAAGTCGTTAAGTCGTCCAGCGGTTCTCGACATGGCTACAATGTCTGAGGCACATTCGAACGTTGACACGAGCGTGTGTCTAGAAATATCAGGGATTAAGCTAGGATTTCAGTCCCCTTTCGCTGTGGAATTCTGAAATCATCATTATTTTGTGCAAAGTTGATTTTTAACTGTTCACATATTCTTACATTTAGAATTATCCAGGACATACATCTATTACAATCATATAATGGCTCTTCTTCTTCACTTGTTCTGGTATCAGTGAAATCAAGTTACCTCCACAAAGCCATAATTTTAGTTTTAATTGCATTAATATGAATGGGGAAATTATTAATTCCAGTTTGGGACATTTGTTGTGGACTTGGAGCCAAATGTCTGCCTCAGATTTAGATAAACGCTTTTATAGGATAAAAGCAGGGTTAAACCCTTACGGATATACTATCGTCAGTGGCAGGCTAGAGATCCATGATGTGTTATTAATGAGAGATTATGTTTGTATGTTTGTATGTTTGTATTCTGCTCATACTATACAATGAACACGTTACCCAGTGGTAAAAGGCACCACAATTCGCAGTGCTTGCCTTGGTCACGTCAGGATCCACTGATTGTAGGTTTTCCTACTGTTCCTGTCCTTAACTTGCGAGGATTTGGTCGACGATGTGATCAGGTTTGGTCGAACACTATTAATAATATGGTTACACCTTCAACCTGCATGTGCTGAATGGTAGTGTAGAGAGAGAGAAAATCTCACCCGAGTGTCTTTTGATATCAAATATATCAACATGAGTTGAGTTTTTCCACTTTTATCAACGAGTGGTGATATATTTGATATAAAAAAACACGAGGGTGAGATTTTATTTGACATCCAATATCACTCTTAAATCGAAATACGAGAAAATAAATCAGTAATTTATGAAAGCGGTACCTACAACGTAGATATCGCTTGGTCTCACCAGTTTGGACGATAAATAGGGATGTTGATAAGGAAATACTTGAATCCCCTATTGTTGAACAATTGATCACTTCGTCATAAATCACCGGGAATCGATAATTTTCTTGTTGAAATGATCAAAAGCGAATAGGATAATGATGCCTGTTTTAATCCTTCTTTTTAAAAAAACTATTTAATAATAGCATTTTTTTCAGACGCGTTGGCTGGAGCAATTATTGTCGCATTACACAATTGTATTGTCCCATTACACAATTGTATTGTCCCATTACATAAGAAAGATTAAACATGGTTCCATGTATCTTTAATGAAACAAGTAGTAAATGGGAGAATGTCATGGCCAAGCTATCGAAGTGTCAAGCAGGTTTTCGTCAAGGTCATTCTACTGTTGATAGCATTTACACGCTGTATGCTTTAATTGAAAAATGTTTAAATAAAAGAAAAAGTGGTTATATGTTGGTTTTATTAGTTGAGAAAGGCATTTGGCTATGTAAATCGTTATAAACTGTGGAAATTATTATCATCAAACAGGCTGAATGGAAAAAATGTTAAAGGCTATTTATAGTTAACGCCTGTGTAAGATTATTACCTAATTGACTCACTAACCGTCGATTTGGTCTTAAGCAGGGATGTATGCTAAGCCCAATATTATTCTCCTTTTTCATAAAGTACTCGGTTTCACGGTGTGCAACTACTTCCAGATATCATACATATTTTCATATGCTTTCATATTATTGTTCTTTTCGCTGACAATGTCTTAGTATCAGACAACTAGTGGTCGTACAGTGTCAACTAAATGAACTTTGATCGATCCAAAATTGTTTTATTCAGAAAACTGTTATCTTATCTGGCGAAGAAAAATGGATTTACCAGGGCAACTATCTCAATGTTTCTCAATGTAAAGCTAGTCATGAATAAAGCAGTAATGGAATTGACTTCACGTGTCAAAATAGCACTAATTGTATTGCATGTAAATATGAGGAAGTTGGTGTACACATGCCCCAGAGTGTTCGTCAAACTATTTGACAGCCAAATACAATCCATATTACTATATTCTGCGGAGGTATGGGGTGCTAAGGGAATTGATTGTATAGACAATGTGCATTTATTTCCTTGAAAAACAATTCTTAATGTTGGACCACAATCACCAAATGCTATATGATATGGTGAATGTGGTCGATTTTCCTTTTACTTTAATGTCACCGCGAGAAGCATTACATATTGGTTAACATCTTTTTCGATGCACGAGGCACATCTTCCAAAGAAAGCTTATCTGTTAATGTTTTTTAGATAAGTCGGATATAAAGAATATCCATCCGAAAAAAAGTGTTTCATGTTTTCATATGGTTTTGGAATAGCATGATTATAACGGACAGTTGGTAATCATAAATATACTCTTAAAAAAAAGTAGGGGATCATGAAATGTAAATGGTAATACCAAGTATTAGAACAAAGATAAGTGTTGAAGACAAACATCCTATGCAAAAACGTTTATGCCTGTAAATCCTAACATCAAAACACATCATTTTGTTTGCACGTGGCTCATGCAGTAGCGCCAGGGTGTCATTTCAGACAAGAGGGATGACTTCCAAAAGTCCACTTTCCTTTTCTGTCCAGCATTATTCTTTAAGCTCCACCCCATGGTGCCTACATGTTTGTAACAGGTGCCACTGATGGCGCAGGATACCCTCACCATTTCGCGAACACCTGGTGTCATCACTATTTGATAGTGATTCATAAACAATAGCCTGAATCGTACTCTGAACACTGCTTTTGGCATATATTTCTGATGAATATAGAAAGGGTTTTGTCGCTTTTATTAGACAGGTCCATTAATCTTTGTGAACCATTATTTCTGTCAATCTTATTGATTCTGCTTATCATACAGTTGTGATTTACTTGATTTCATTCATTGTTTATATGTGAACTAGCGATGCGGCGACTGCAACGCGCGGGGCGTCTACGGGCTTTTGGCTTGCTGGAAACTGGACGAAGCCAGCGTGCAGTGGCCAATACGTTCAATGTTCCAAAATCTGTGATAAGCAGACTATGGAACAGGTATCAACCAACCCAAATTTAGGACGATCCACCAAGTCAACGACAAGAGTACGGGATCGATTGATCGAGCTCAAATGGCGTATCAAATTGATGTAAACTTGAGTTACGGGTCAGCCGATTAGAGGTGAGGTGAGGTGAAATGGGTTTACGTCGCGACGTGCATGCATGTATGTGTGTGTGTGGCTGCTTGTATTAGACCGGACTAATGCCGATTTAATAGTGCTAGCCCACTGAGATACTATGACGCAGTTTAACATGGATACCCCACTCAGACACAGTATATTGACTCCGGGCCGTCCAGTCCTTGTTTTTACCCCTTAAAGCCGAGCGCCAAGCTGGGTAACAACAAGTACCATCTTTTACCGTCTTTTGGTCTGACGGGAGGACGCTCTACCGCCAGACCACACAGGCGGTCTCAGACGATCATCTTATCGCCAACAGACGTCAATGGAGTACACAACGACGCAACTAGGGTAATCGTCGCTGGTTATGACAACCTTTGTTGTCCCGTTTGCAACGCGTGTGGGTCAACGTTTTGTCTTTCAGGACGACAACGCCCGTGCTCACCGTAAACGAATCATCAATGCTCACCTCCAGCAGGACATGGCCAGCATTGAACCAAGCCCTTCTCCCCATTAAACACGTCTGGGGCATGATATGCGGACGTATGTGTCAACGTCACAGGCCGCCGACCACGTTGGCTGACCTGGGCTGTCGCTGCAAGAGGAGTGGGGAGTGGGGCAGACTCATACGCAGTATGCCTCGTCGAGTGAATGAATGTTTGACAAATCGTGACGGCATCACCCACTACTGATCCAAAAAGTCAACTTTCAAAGTTCCCATCTTACCCACATGTTCCTTGAAGATCGTTGGCGGTCAGAACATCTGCTGTCATATTTCACTATCCGTTGTATTGTGTTCCCAATTCCTTTAGTATTATCATACAGTTATCACTACAAACCAATATCTCTTACAAATTTGGAAATTTTAAGTTGTTTCCGAAAATCCTCATTTTTTTTTTAAAGAGTATATTTCCTTGAAATGTTTCGAGAATGTGCCATTAATACGTTTTATCAATTCTTTAAATCTTATAAATTCTTTTAAAATTTATAATCTACTCTTGACAGTAGCTCGAGATATAATTTGTATGTGGAGTTTTAGAGTCTGTTAGAGCCTGAGTGCTATATCACTGTAATACAGGAAGTAGTTAAATTTAGAGCGGGACGGTTGAAGTTGAAACATAACGAAGCAACATATAGATGTATCCTTGAGAAATTATCCTTTATGCCAATCAGGAAACCAAGGCGAATATCCTTTCTTGCTTTTATGAACTGCTCTCAAAGATACTGTAAATACGTTTATTCCAATGCCATATTGTAAATATCCAAATGTGTATGTATTTACAACATTGGTTAAATCACAGGGAGGGCATGTTTGATCTTATATAATTTCTGATTGTTGTGCGTGTATATAACTATACGTTGTACTTATGTTTGTATATGGGCCTGTGGCCATCATAGTCAATACATCATAGTCAATCATAGTCAGTTTTATTGCTTGCTTGCTTGATTGATAGGTTAGAAAACGGCAAATGTGCCCTTATTCGGATCCAGGGTTTGTCACCATGCTTTTGCGTTGAACCGAAGAGACCAGTTCGTGCGTTCCCCCCATTGCAACTCACACACTCCAAAATACCCTGAATGTTTCGACGTCATTTCGTCTGTAAAGAACAAAGCAATTAAGAGTGGCAAAATGCAAGGGGGATAATATTATGACAAATCAACTTACAGTCTGTACAGGCACATGTTTGAAGCATCTCCCAAAAAGTACCAAATGTCTCCAAAGATTCTAGAGAGATACATAAACCTTCCTCTAGGTTTCCGTCTATCGTTTCAATATCTCATGGTTTATGGTTTATTTAAGGGAATCATCCGTCATTCAAGGGCAAAGAAGTCACGTCTATCTTAAAATGATAAGATATATAAGTAATTGTATTAACTGATGACGATTTCACATTGAAGGTATCTCACTACCGTTTCTCCATCGCCTGGTCCCGAGTTCTTCCCAATGGCACACTCTCTGGAGGGAGGAACCAAGAAGGCATCGATTATTACCACAACTTCATCGCTGAACTGCTCAAGAACGACATCAAACCCATGGTGACCCTCTACCACTGGGACCTGCCACAAGCGCTTGAAGACCTGGGAGGCTGGCTGAATGAAGACATTGTCCATTGGTTTACCGACTACGCTGACTTATGTTTCCAGGAGTTTGGGAATCATGCAAGTGATACATTTTTATGAACCTCATTTTCTAAGTAAACTATAATACTGAAAACAATGATTACAATAAAAAAAAGCCATACGATATTATTTATAGCTTGATATAATCAGTGTTTTATGAACGTGATAGCGATTCAATAAACCAATTCGATATACTTGGTATCACGATCTGATAATTATGCGTACTTTCAGGAACCTCTATACAGATGCAATGTCCACTTGCTCTGACAATATAGCATAGAATTCGCAAAGATTCCCCGATGTGTCAGTGTAAACAAATATGGCTGCATGTCAAATGGCAGTAGAACTAAATGGACCTGTTTACCCCATCATTCTATTCCTACGCGGTTTCTAAAGTTACTTTAGTTATTGGAAGTATGTCTTAAACTCATAACGGGATTATTACTCTCGCGTGTTTCCGTATCGTAAATACTCAAAGGCTCCCGTAATTCAATTTTATTCCAGATATTTACGATTTGAAATTACAATGGGTTAATAAGTTCTACTTATGAATGTAATGATTTTTTCAATTACTGTATTCGACGTAATAAGCGCCCAGGGTGCTCTCAAAATTAGAAACAGGGGGCTCTTATTAGAATATTATTTTAGTGAAAAATACGGAATTGGAAGATAAATTTCGTGGTTTATGCTGACAGCCTGAAATGTTTATATACGACAGATATATTTTTCCAGAATTTAATTGCTCATAATTGAGGGTGCCTAAAACACACGAGTTCGTATTATACGCGAATAAATAAGTCTTGTGTATATTGATCAATCAGAAGATTGGGTGATAGGATAGTAATTGGGATAGTTCACTAGCAAATATATTAGCAAATATCGCCGTTGGCGCTTATCAGAGCGGGGCGCTTATCACGTCGAATATGTATACTGTAAATATAAAACGCCAACGCCAGAAATAAGTCTCGTTTATCTCCTGAAACACATTCATTTGGTCGTAAAAGACGAAAAAAGGTGAGTGTAGCCATAACAATGTCTCTGGAAAAAAGGACAAGATATATGAATGAACAACTCCGTCATTACAATTAGAGACGACGTTTAGGTTCTAACACCGTTATCAAGCACTCCAAAAGATGGTTGAAATAAGCCTACTGTGCAAAACTATCCCCCCTCCCCATGCCCCCCTCCCCTCTCAAAGAAGTTAATGTGAGTCGAGATATTCCTTTTACGTTATACTGACCATGTGTTCTTTGTGTTCTGCCATCAGGTGCCACTGTGGATCACCTTCCATCAGCCTTCTATCTCCGCAGTCAACGGCTATGGTGTGGGACAAGCTTCACCTCAAACATGGAATCTGACAGGGAGTCAATATGTCGCAGCACGGAACCTTGTCTTAGCCCATGCTGAAGCGTTCCACCTTTATAATGACACATACAGATCAAAACAAGATGGCGAGTCTTTATTGAACTTAATGCATTCATGCCACTGTCAAAAAGTTATGTCACGTTTTACTTGAAAAATATAACTGAAGCATAATTTTACAGGTATATCCGTATTATTTACATATATGCCGATTGTTTATATTTCCTCATGTTTGTATTGTTTATTTGTTGATTAACGCCGCAATTTTTCAACTTCATGACGCCAGTTTCTCAAACATCGAGTGTGGAACAGAAAATCTATTTAGTGACATCATGAGCATCGATACACGCAATTGGGATACGATGCAGTCAGCCAATTCACCGAGCCTAATTACCTGATCAATTTATTCAGCTATTACGACAAGCATAGGTTGCTGTGGGCCTGTATTCTTACCCGAAAACCCGCGATGTACTTAACTAATGGAGGCGGGTGAATTCAACGTGTTACCTGCTTGATTCGGGTTTCCTTATGCCCTGACGATGTGGCTTGCTGCTCATGCTGTTAAACGTGGTTCCGGTTCTGTGACGTAGCTCGAATGTTGCACAACAACACAACAATAATTAACTCATTCCCTGATTTTGTAAACAGTTGATGTCATTACTTCTTGCTGATCAGGGGGCACGGGTGGCCCAGTCGTCTAAGGCGCCAGAAACCTATGATTGTGGGTTCGAATCCCGGTTCGACCCGATAATTTTTCTAGGTTAACATTATTCCAGTTATATCACGGCGCGTCAGCTTAATGTGGGAGGAAAGCCCGAAGTGATGCAGGTCTCAGATGTTTACCATTTCGGTGAAACCCACGAGCACGGGTAAGGTGCTGACAAACCTAGAAACATAATCAGGGCGAACTGGGTTTCTAACCAACAATCATATGTTTCTGACGTGCCCCCAGTAGAACTCTTTGACGTTATCGAAGGTAATGAACGAAGCGGCATAGGCTAAGACTCATGTGTGATCAGTAAGCCGATTAATATTAAGGAACTGTTTTACACTTGTCAGCGTCTATTCTAATATACTCGTTTTATCAATACACTTACTAGAATACTTTACAAATCAAACCTGTTAATTTTTTAGAATATTTTAACTTTATACTTTGCATTATGCAAGACTATGATTAGTCACCAACTACAGCTAGATTGAACCAATGGTTGGTTTGTTGTTTTACGCCGCACTCAGCAATATTCCAGCTATATGACGGCGGTCTGTAAATAATCGAGTCTGGACCCAACAATACAGTGATTGACATCATGAACATCGATCCACGCAATTGGGATCGATGACTGAAACAATGGACCCGATCAGATAAATGCATTGAGAAGTAATGATGGGGGTAAATATTTTAACTCTGTGTACTTGGAAAGATCGGAATAACCATCAACTACGGCTGGAATGAACCAATGGTCCCGATCAGATAAATGCAGCGAAAAGTTATGATGGGGGTACATATTTTAACTCTGTGTACTAGGAAAGATCGGAATAACCATCAACTACGGCTGGAGCGAACCCAGGGACCCTCTGGACACCACAGATGTAGACGCCGCGGAAAGGTCACTAGAGTTCTATGGCGGGATGTTCGGCCATCCTATATATGTGGACGGGGACTTCCCTCCTGTGATGAAGGAAAAGATAGCTCAGAAAAACAAGGAGTCGGGTTGGTCCGAGGACAGGTTACCTCCATTTTCTGACTCGGAAAAGAAACGAATAAAAGGTTGAGAAACAGATCCAGTTCTGAGATATATACATGGCGGGCTATTCAAGAAGCTGTCTTGGCTAAGACAAATATTAGCGACTTACGAAAAAAAGTACGACTGCCATAAGCTTGAAGCTGTCTTAAACTATCGTAGCCGTGAATCAGCTAAGACAGCTTCGTGAATAGGCCGCCTGACTGTTGAATTCAGAATTCAGCGATAAGTTAATATGTTAATCTCAGTCGGTGCAAAAGATGTTTGATTAATATATCTATTTGGCATTATCAATGTTATGCACCCACATTTGTCTCAGAAGAGGAGTAAGAAACGATGACGATCACGTCACGCTATTGTTGTTACAGTAGATTCTGAGACAGTGTATTTTGTGCAAGTAAAACTGACGCACATATGGTCCATTTTACAAAATTATAGAAAAAATATATAAACCATACCATACCATGATTGAAGTTAATGCAAAATGGTGGGTGTTAAACTTTGTTAAGTTATTATTGCAGGTACACATAATTTCCTCGGACTTACCCTCTATTGTGAAAGCCTGGTGAGAAATGTAAGCGATCTACCTACCTATGACAAGGATGGGGGCATCAGAACTTACAATAACCCAGCCTGGTTCAGGTTGGTGCTTTTTTATACATTGCCATATTACATTTCACCATCTGTTGCAGGCATGATATGCTTTGCAAATAGAGGTTATCACGCGATTCTGTTTTGGAATTGTAAACATATTGTATTAGGAATATACATTGTATTTCTAATACAGGAATTTACATCCCAAAATACACAAGCGTGACAACCTCTTTCGGCGAGAAAGTTATTGAATTGTGATTACAGTATGATATCCCATTCGTTACCACTGGCCTCTTTCCGTAACCCGCAAGAAGATTTGTCCCCCTATCGATGAATGTTATGTCAAAAATGAAAATGCGCGTATGATATCAAGTTCTTCGTCAAAGAACCCCTCAGAAATAATCTATCCTGCCCAATCGGCGGCACACTATACAAACACATGCAAAGACAAGTCAATTGTTAACCTGAAAAACACATGGATAACATTTGTACAAGTCAAAATAAGGAATTGCATCGGACATAATTTATGTCACTGATGCGTCGAATTTGGAAATGTCCTCCACATGTCCACCATAAAAATTTCTGAAAGCTTCAGTGAGGCCTTCAATGTTGTAACCTTGATCAAACATATCTGAGCAAGAGTCGTATGACGCTCTTTGAAATCTTTCTAGCAAGAGCATGCTTGATTGTATCTCAAAAGTTGTGAAATGTTAACACCAAAGGCTGGAGCTGCTAGATTATTGCCCGTCATGAAGGGAAAGTTGACTATTGGAAGGTTGAAGTCATCCCTCTTGGCAAACTGTCTTTTGGAGAGTGTTTTGTCACTCTGAATCTTTATGCATAGCTTTAAATATGAAACAGATGAGGCGGCCTGACTGGTCTCCTGTTTTTCAAGTTCAGGTGGTTAAATCAGAAGGTAAACCAGTGGAAGGCAATAGGCTGTTTGATGGTTTTTGAACAACATCAGATCATCGATATACCTAAAGTTATGTAAATTCCTGAAGATCCGAAAACATGCTTTAAACTGATTACGCATTTGGATTCTTTTGTCTAATAACAGTTCAATGTGATAATACAAATACTATTAGCTACCACATATGGCAATGCAAATCTTTTGACAGAGAACCCCATTTCCTTCTGGATATTTTAAACAGCAGCCTTGTGTTTATCAGATCTGGATCCGACTGGCTGAAGGTGACGCCCTGGGGAATAAGGAAAATGCTGAACTGGATCAAGGACAAGTATAACAACGTGGACATTTATATCACAGGAAGTGGCTTATCAGATCACAACGTGACGCTCCATGATGATCACGAAGTTCAATTTTATCGTATTTTCATCAATGAAGTACTGAAAGGTGAACGTAGCACATGTAAGGTCTAGTGGATGAGTGAGTTGGTGATAATTTTGCAGTCACAAGTTATATCAAGACAGCTTGTAAATATTTCAGGCACGATCAATCCCAGACATAATCAACCAGTTTACACCTATCGACCCTCATATCTCGGCCTATGACAAAACTGGTCAACCAATTTTGTGTTGGATCCCATCGGCGCCTACTAGTTAAATCGGTCGTTCACCCAGAGTGCACATATACACCTTATAAAGCCCTTTTTTGTTTTGTTTGTTTGTTGTTTAACACCGCAGTATTCAGCCGTATTCCAGTTGTATCACTGCAGTCTGTACGATGATGCCATGCAATCAACCAAGTTACTAAGCCTGGCCACCCAATCCAGAACATCGCCTCTGGCATTTGTTCCTTTGTTACATAATTCTTGTTTTTGTTTATTCATATCCCCAACACATATTATCATGTATATATATATGCACAATTTTTGTTTTTGTATATATATCTACACGGAGTTCATTGCCTGTGAGAGGACACTCACATGGTTAATGCAAAGTGCTTAGATTGAGCATTTGTTCTTGTATTTGTGGATAATGGACTGATCCTAATGCACCATCAACGTTGCATGTCGCGGGTTACGCAGTTCTTGTTTATATATATATATATATATGATAATATGTGTTGGGGATATGAATAAACACATTTTTTGTTTTTGTATATATATCTACACGGAGTTCATTGCCTGTGAGAGGACACTCACATGGTTAATGCAAAGTGCTTAGATTGAGCATTTGTTCTTGTATTTGTGGATAATGGACTGATCCTAATGCACCATCAACGTTGCATGTCGCGGGTTACGCAGTTCTTGTTTATATATATATGTGATAATATGTGTTGGAGATATGAATAAACACAATTCTTGTTTTTGTATATATATATACAAAAACAAGAATTGTGTTTATTCATATCCCCATCAAAGTGATAATCATTTACGACCAGCGTCATTTAAGCGGGCTTTTTCTCCTGCATTAAACTTTCTAGAAATAGCTGAAATTTTACACCGCTGCTCTAAACAGTTTATAAATGTGAGTGAGTTGGCGTCTCTTGTACTGGATTCCAAAGCTCCATAAACATCCGTACAAAGAGAGAGATATTGCTGGGTTCAGCAAATGTATCACCAAATCCCCGTCAAAACATTTACTTTTCACCTTGTACACACGATAAACTTAAGGAACAACTTCATTCATTGATCCATAGAACATTTGTCACTAAACGTTGTGACCAGAGATAAGGTGACCATAGATATCCGTCTTCAGCGGTTCAAGTCAATTTATCAAAAACGAAAGCAAATGTCATCTGAAGTTTACTGAGAATACTATATGTGAAATGCTGGACTTCCTCATTGATAATATCTTTGTAACATTTTAGGATAAGACATTTTGGCCAGAAGTAGGCATCCCCATGGGCATAAAATATGCAGCTAAGAATTGTAACTTAAGCTTCAGGCATATCGATGATCTGATATCGTTCAACAAGAATCAAATAGCGAATTCGCTTCCACTGATGTACCCATCTGTGAAACCACCTCATCTGTTTCATAGTTCATAAAGCTTCAGAGGAACTAAACAATCTCCACAATATGATTTCAATTTTTCAATATTCATCTTTCCCAATATTCCAGCAGCTCCACCCTTTGGTGTCTATATTTCACAAATTTTAACGTACAATCGAGCATGTTCGTTTTAGATTTCAACGTCTCCTACTCAAAAGTTGTTTGATCAAGATTACAACATTTAAGGCCTTGGTGAACGTTTCATGGAAGACATGTGAAGGGCATTTTGTGACTTGTACAACATATTCACGTGTTTATTTTACCGGCGAACGTTTGACTTAACTTTGCATGTGTTTTTTACGGGTGCCATCAATGGGGTAGGGTATAACGTTCACCTTTTCATGAACATCTGGCTTCTTCACTATTAGTGATTCATATACACATGCTTATGGAAAAGTCGGAATGGTACAATGGATGGTGCTTATAGCATGTTTCTCATGAATATGGAAAGGATTGTTTGATAGGCATTACTTAGAAGTTGATGGATGACAAGGAACACAAATCTTATTGATAACAACTTCTTTAATACTGTAAAAAGCGACGTTGCGGTATAAATCCTTATACCGTTGTGAAGCAAGACTGAATAAGGGACATAGTACAGAATATATATAGTAGTTGGAGGATTAACAGTAGAGGATTAACAGTAACAACAATTGCATACATGAGTGGGATAACATAGGTAGGTGTTGACAACAAAGGGCTAATACTGTCACAACACGATGGTCACAATACATAGGAAGCCAATGGGACATGAAGCCGATTAAAAGGATAAGTGATTATTGCTTGATGAGTTCATAGTAGGCGAATGGAATGAAATAGCCTTGATCCCTGTTGATGGATGGCTTGTGGCGGTGAATGTGGACTGCTTCTGTTAGTTTTCTTTTAGTGAAATCATGGAGGTTGTTAAAGAGCATTTGGACGTTGTCCAGGTATATACCGAAACGTCGCTTTTTACAGTATTAAAGAAGTTGTTATCCATAAAATTGTGTCTACCTTGTAATATGGAAATGGTTTTGCTGCTTTTATATTCAAAAACACGCATTTCAATTACATTGGTTGAAAATGGACACACTTGAAGTTCTGACGATGACGTAAACGTATCGTGAGTAAACCTCATGCATTCTAAATGATCTAAGACAGCACAATATAATTTTATCCCATTCACGTTACAGCTGTAACCTTGGACGACTGCAGTGTTAAAGGTTTCACAGCATGGTCCTTGATGGACAAGGTCGGCCGAGTGAACTTCAACTTCTCTGATCCACGCATCTCAAAAACCTCGGACATGTGGTACGCTGGGCTGATTCAGGACAATGGGTACAAGCGCGGGTACTCGTGGCCCGGGGGTAGGGGATCTGCCGTGCAGGGGGAGGGGGAGTTTCATTATGGAACCTTCCCCAAGGACTTTCTGTGGAGTATTGCCTCCTCCTCCTTTCAAATTGAAGGCGCTGTCACGGAGGATGGTAAGACTTGTCCCTCTTTGAACACAATGGATCATCCCTCTTTGAACATCCCATCGACCATTTAATATACATAATAATATAATAAAAGTTGGAGACAGAATATTTTAAACAAACAGTTTCTTCTTTGAAACAATTATATTTTTCCCAGGTGAACATTATTTTATTAAAACATGACCCCACCCTTCCACCACGATATCTAAAAATCGATCCCTCGGAACAGAACCTAAAATGATTTGATTGAGTGCGCTTGAGTATGTGAGTATTGGTTTCCGCCTACTTTAGTAATATTTGTCAATGAGGAATGGGTTTTCTACATTTTATCTATGGAAATAGCGCCTGGGTTTGCGAAACGTTTTGGCCAGTATGCTACCCAATATCCAATACACCCCCGACGACACAGGATAATTTGACGTTCATGTAAACAACGTTTTCTTAACATTGCGCTTCTCCATGTCAATGAGTATATGTACAGCTATTTGTAACTTAACCTTTACAAGACTTTCATAAACAACAAGACAAGACAACAGAGCAGAACAATCATGTCTTCCATTTTGAGACCAACAATATCACTGTCAATATAGTTATCTGTTTAAGTCAATGTTTGTATGGATTTACCCTCTAGGTATTGCCCCTAATTCAGTAGTACGTGTTTAAAAGCTTACTGCTAACCCTTTAAAATATCTTTGTATAATGTCAGGACGAGGAGAAAGTATATGGGACAACTTCGAAGGTATTCATAACGATACTGGCAGCGTGACCTGTGACAGCTACCACAAATACACCGAGGACGTCAGACTTCTTAAAAACCTTGGGGTAAGAACGTTTTGGGATGGTTTCCTGTTCCATAGTAGATGAACGGGAAGTAAACAAATGCACACAACGATTCCTTTTTATCACATTCTAAAATAATATAAAACGTTAACGCCACACGTGACTAGTTGTTTGGAAACCTTACGAATTCAGGTGTGTTCAGGGTTTCTTCGTGGCGGGAGTACTGCTCCGCGGTGTTAGGCAGCACACAAACACTGATGGGCGGGTGCTACCGGTAGAGTAGGTCATGCTTTCCCTTTCAACGAACACCTGGTAACATCACTGATTTACAGGGATCCTTGCAGTACTATAATTTTCATCACTGTTCGGCCTTTTTCCTTTTTGCAATGTGTTCCAAGATAACCGAGAGTGATATTCTCTGACGTTGATGGTATATATTTCCCCATTTTTCTTAAGAAATGTTGAAAATAAGAAAATTTGTACTTTATACAGAAGTTATGGTAAAATGTTTGGTTTGTTTCAATACCCATCCGAGACATACATAATTTTCTAAGGTAAACGTGATTTTAGTAATGACCTTGTTGACATGGGAGTTACTTTTGACTGATACCTACAAAAATATTGACTGAATACAAACAGTATGTAAATGATGCGTATGGGCAGCGGAACTTCTATAGCCAACCTTAGACAATGGAAAAAAATTAAGTAGGTCCGGGGTAAATGTACACGTAATATGTTTGGTGTTCATTTCCAGACAATGACGACGAAAACTAGTGATAACTGTAAGTTCAATGTCTTGAAGATCGGGGTTAGAATTGGTCTTCAGCGGTATGCAACAATCACTTACCTTTTCATGCAAATAGTGTAAGTAATGGGTGTTACCGGTAGGACAGAACATCTCAGTTTTTTACGCGAACACCTGGTGTCATCAATGATTTACAGGGATCCATTCATCACTATAATTTTCATCACTATTTGGCGTTTTACGACCAATGGAATCTGTTTCGACGGATAATTGAAACTGGTTATTCTCTGGCGTTGACGTATTGTGTGTATAATATTTGCATTGGGTGAGTGAGTGAGTGAGTGAGTGAGTGAGTGAGTGAGTTAACAGTTAACGGCATTATTTCAGCCATATAGCGACTTTGCATTAGTACACATTATCAGATGTAGACAGTTTAATTTACCTAGACTGAAACACAATAATAAGTATAATAACACTCTTTTAAAGATACATCTTTTTATTACTTCCTCGTGAAGAGATCACCCGTTTAATAAACATACAGCTGTATTACACATTGTGTAATACCAAAACGCGTGCTTATGTACTCTCGGAACACGTTTCACGAAAAATATTGAAAGCTCTCAACATCCCTTGGCTTATTCAATGACATTGCGTGTGGAGATGATAGATCACTGAGAGGAGCTTAAGCACACCCGATGACCCCAGCAACCTTGTTGCTAGGCTGACGTCACATGGCATTGTTTCGCCGAAGGATCTTGCAACAAAATTCCACAAATTACGTCATCGGGTATTGTGACGTGATTGTAAACTTTGAGGTGCAAGGCCCCGTTCCACAAGGCGATCGTGCTGTAGCGCAACGACAGTCGTTGGTCTAAGTTTAAGTATGTGAGTTGGAATAACCTTAACGCTACGATAATTTTGTGGAACGGACGCCTGAATTCTAAAGGTAGACAATTGTATGGTATTAAACTCATACGTTTCAACTTTTGACGTGTTTGAAGTATTATTCTGTTAAACTCAATTGTATTATGCCGTGGATCGTGTAGGTGTCAGCCTATTCACACTCGACAGTATAATTCTAAAAACATTTTCAATGGCAAGTAATAAATAAAATACTAAACTCGCTACCGTGTAAAACCAATTTTATGAAACCTGTGAATAGTTGTGGTATCTGACTCGCTTTCGCTCGTCAGATACCACAACTATTCACTCGTTTCAAAAAATTGGTATTACACAGGAGCTCGTTCAGTATTCTATATATCTTATTCATAATATTATGATCTTTTAGGTCGACCTCTACCGTTTTTCCATCGCGTGGTCACGAATATTCCCAGATGGCACCAAAGCATCTATAAATCAAGCCGGTATCCAGTACTACCATCGACTCCTCGACGCTCTCCGTGCTGCGGGTATTGAACCAATGGCCACCTTGTACCACTGGGACCTTCCAAAGGCTCTCCAGGATAAAGGAGGGTGGACTAATGCGTCCATTATAGGGCACTTCACGGACTACGCTGATGTGTGCTTCAGGGAATATGGAAATAAGGTGAGCTAACTTTGCTTCTATAAGAAGACAAGGCACAAATATATGCTTGAAGAAAGGTACAACACAAATACAAACTTACGTGAGGAAAATAGCTTAATAGAATAGATTTTAATCGACAAAGTCAATAATATTTTGTGCATATAAACAAAGTATATGTATTTGTAAAACGTGATAACGATTTCTTTTGTGTCTTATATTTACTATGAAAACCACATGTCAATAGAAATTATGGAAATACAAATAAATCGTTACTCAAGCATAGATTTTTCCCAACCATTGATATAATAAACATGAGGACATGTGGCTGTAGAAGCAATTGGGTGTATATTATGACTTCGACAATATATCGGATTCCCTACTCAATATTAAATGTGTTTCGGTACATAAAATAGTAACTGCTTCAAGTTGTCTTCATAGGTGAAACTTTGGCTGACGTTCAATGAACCTTGGATATTCCTTGTAAAGGGTCTTGAGACGGGACAGAATGCACCTGGGCATACCAGCGAATGGGTGGTGCCCTACAGTGGGGGCCACAACGTCCTGTTGGCCCATGCCGAGGCCTACCATCTGTATAATAACTCCTACAGGGAGACTCAGAACGGTAAAAATGTTATGTATGTATTTGACTCGGTGGAATTGCAAAACAAAAGATATACTCAGTAACAAAGCTTGGGTGGATCGAAGGCCATGCTTGCAACCACTGGTTTGCCAGATGAAGACAAACATTTAGTCTCCGAAGGGAAAATATTTGAAGGTGTATATATCGAGAAATTGTCTGATAATATGAAACATCAAGGAGCCTAGGGTGAGTGAGTTGGGTTTAACGCCGCTTTTAACAGTATTCCAGTTATATCGCGGCGTGTCAGCTTAATGTGGGAGGAAAGCGCGAAGTGATGCAGATCTCAGACGTTTACCACTTCGGTGAAACCCACGAGCACGGGTATGGTGCTGACAAACCTAGAAACATAATCGGGTCGAACCGGGATTCGAACCCACAATTATAGGTTTCTGGCGTGCCCAAGGTACGCAACTCTGCACAGCGAATCGCGGCGCCTCAGACGACTGGGACAGCCGTGCCCCCGAAAGGAGCCTAAAGGATCTCTTATCGATACTGATGGATTTTAGACTGACCATACCATAAGACTTGAATGGAATTTATATATCTATTTATTTCAATACTAGAGAGAGACTTTGGCAGACCCAGACTCGATCTTTTAGATGGCCGACCCGTGAAGATGCGGGTTAAAATTGGCCTTCGGCAACCCATGCTTGTCGAAAGAGGCGACTAACGGGATCGGGTGGTCAGGCTTCCTGACTTGCTTGATGCATGTCATCGTGACCCAATTGCGTAGATTGGCTAGCCGTCGTACAGCTGAAATATTGCTGGATGTGACCCCTGTTCAAGACACATGCCCAGATTCAATCCCATTAAAACAGACGCACATCTGCTAAAATAGGGCATTACGTTATTAACGGCCCTGTCACACTAAAACGTTTTAGAGTAACTTGCACCAAGCGTTTGCACCACCCGATCCAGTTAGTGGCCTTTCACGCCAAGCATGGTTTGCTGAAGAACTGTTCTTATCCGGATCTTCTTTGTGATCCACCCCACCCCATGGACCTGACGGGATAACCAAAGTTCTCCTATTTTGTATGATTGTCGTAACTGGCAACTCGACGTTTGACCGTGTGGCCATCATGTGAGTTGGTTGATTGAGTGGCATTGTACCCAGCGGCGTGGATCGTTGGTCATGCTGGCAGCCACTGGTTTCTAGCTTAGATTCGTAATATCGATCACTGGTTTGTCGGGTCCAGGTTTGAATAGTATTGAGTGCGGCGTCAGTAACCAAACACAGATAAACTCAAAGTTCAAATTACTCAATCATCCCCTGCCAGGTGAAATAAGCATCTCCTGCAACTTGGACTGGCCAGAGCCCCTGGACCCTACGAATTCCTCCGACATCGAGGCGTCAGAGACTGCTGTTCAGATGTTCCTGGGATGGTTCGCAAATCCTGTTTATGTGAACGGGGACTACCCAGAGGTGATGAAAACAAGGATAGCCGCCACCTGTCAGATAGAGGGACGCAATGTATCCGAACTACCCGCATTCACAGAGGCACAAAGCAATAGAGTTAAAGGTAGGTTTACGTGGAATGCCTTACTATCGAACCAGAGAAACGTCAGTATATTAAAGCCTGTATCTTGCGACTAACGGGATCGGGTGGTCAGGCTCGCTGACTTGGTTCATGCATGTCATCATATCCCAATTGCGTGGATCGATGCTCATGATGTCAATCACTGGATTGTCTGGTCCAGACACGATTATTTACAGACCGACGTCATATAGCTGGAATATTGCTGAGTGCGGCGTTAAACAACAAACAAACAAATCCAGGTGTAACTTGAGAACCCTCCAACTAAAGATGTGTTTCCTTGCTGTACTCATAGACCAAAGCCTGTCTGTGTTATCATAATGTCTGTTCTAGACCATCACATAATGTTTTGTCAATCACTTGATTGTTTGGCTCAAACTCAATTATTTAAGACCACCGTCATATAGCTGGAATATTGCCGAGTGCGGTGTGAAACAACAAACAAACAAACACAGATGTCATCATTGTACTTCTTGGGGGATGGTATTTGTAGACATGTCACTATATATGATGATCTTGGTTGGGGAAACACTAGCATTGGCGAATAGCTGTATCGGGGCCCTGAAGATAGGTGAAGATTTTGGTAGAGTCTTCCATTGATGCTTAGGTCACTGCAGTTGTTTGAGATCGGCGCAGGGAATGTAAAGTATACCAAGTCCATCACACCCCATTTTTCCGCCATATTGTCACCTTGGTTGAAGCAATCCCTTGTTGATTTATTTGTATGGTATATTGTTATTTAGATTTGTATAATGTTTTTATTTATTATATGACTGTGCGGCCATTTTGTTACCTAACACTTACTGAATAATAACTTCAAGTCAATAAGGCCGTTCCTCATTGTCATGTTATTCCACATCCGGTATTTTCTTGACCCGCACCCGTTAAAAAACATGTGGAATTGATATATTTCATCTATTTGTCAATTTTGTGTATATGTACAAAAGATATCTATCTCAGACGGCACTGTGTCACTTGCTTCAAGGGGTAGGATTTACTGGTATAAATTTGTGTTTACACAGAAATATACTGGTGGTGCGTTTATTTAAGGGACATATGATTTCTTCGGCTTGAACCACTACACAACCCGGTACGTGTACATGGGCCACCTGACGTCCCAATATAGGACTGACAAGGGCAGTCAAGATTTCACCCCAGATCTAGGCATCAAGCGCCAACTTGATCCCACATGGCCAACGTGAGTGAACTTTTCGATATTATATAAATGATAAAATGTGTAAAATAGCTACAAACTTGATTGTCCAAATGGACATACGTTTCAGTATTTATTTTCACAAATGCCTAAGTTGTCCATGAAGTATATGTCTGTTAACAAAAGTTGAAATTAGACCAACTTAATGTCGATCATGCTCAATTATCCAGGGCTTTCTATAACATTATAAGCCTATTATAATTAAAACCGTGGACCAATTCACGACAGACAGCCGTCATATAGCTGTAATATTGCTGAGTGCGGCGTTAAACAACAAACCAAACCAAACCAAACCGTGAAGATCCGGGGTAGAATAGGTCTTCAGCAACCCATGCTTGCCGTAAAAGGAGACTATGTTTGTCGTAAAAGGCGACTAACAGGATCGGGTGGTCAGGCTCGCTCACTTTGTTGATACATGTCATCGATCCCAATTGCGTGGATCGATGCTCATGATATTAATCACTGGATTGTCTGGTCCAGACTCGATTATTTACAGACCGCCGTCATATAGCTGGAATATTGCTGAGTGCGGCGTAAAACCAAAAACCCAAACCCAAACCTAAGTTGTCCATGAAGTATATGTCTGTTAACAAAAGTTGAAATTAGACCAACTTAATGTCGATAATGCTCGATTATCCAGGGCTTTCTATAACATTATAAGCCTATTTTAATTAAAACCGTGGACCAATTCACGACAGACCACCGTCATATAGCTGTAGTATTGCTGAATGCGGCGTTAAACAACAAACCAAACCAAACCAAACCGTGAAGATCCGGGGTAGAATAGGTCATCAGGAACCCATGGTTGCCGTAAGAGGCGATTCTGCTTGTCGTAAGAGACGACTAACGGGATCGGGTGGTCAGGCTCTCTGACTTGGTTGATGCATGTCATCGATCCAATATTGCGTGGATCAATGCGCATGATATATTAATCACTGGATTGTCTGGTCCAGACTCGATTATTTACAGACCGCCGTCATATAGCTGAAATATTGCTGAGTGCGGCGTTAAACAACAAACCAACCAACCAACCAACCGTTGGTTCCGTCTAGCTGTAGTTGGTGATTAATCATAGTCGTGTATACATGCAAAGTATAAAGTTAAACTATTCTAAAAAATAAACAGGTTTGATTTCGTAAAAAGTATTCTAGTAACAAATTCGCGACACAGCTTCGGATTGAGTCTGACGCAAAATATAGCCGTCCAATCACATCACACGAAGCTGTGTTCGCGAATAGGGCCAGGGGCTGTATCATAATAATACTGAGGTATTCTACACTGGATTAATACAGCGGTCACATTATGGACATTTACAACTCGACTGGGATGATGTTCCATGTGTTCATATCATTCAGAATCTCGGTATGTTCGAACATTGGATCGTCACGCTGAAGATCAGGGCTCGAGTGAGCTAAGTTTTACCCTGCCTGTAGTAACATTCCAGAAATACCACGGCGGGGACACCATAAATGGGCTTCACAAATCGTACCGATGTGGAGAATCGAACACGAGACTTCGATTCGGCGCGACGAGCCAACTCTTTTACCACCAGGCAACTCCGCTGCCTATCAAGGTTCAATTACATTTTCGATGAAACCCTTCTTGGTGATGTTGCGAACGATACACTCAATGTTCATAAAGCCCATTTCTGGTGTCTCCCGCCGTGATATTGCGGGAATATTGCTAAAAGCGGCCTAAAAGCATATTCACTCACTCACTCACTCACTTACTCACGGCAGGAGTGGTTCCCCTTGGTTAATAATTGTTCCCTGGGGGATGAGGAAGAATCTCAACTGGGTAAAGAGCAACTACGGCAACATCCCCATCTATTTGAACGAGAACGGCCTGTCTGACAACAATGGTACTCTGGATGATCAACACAGGGTTGACTTCTTTCGATCTTACATAAATGAAGTTCTGAAAGGTGGGTAAGGGTGGTTAGGGTAGCCTTGTGATTAAAGCGGTAACTCATCACGCGACCAGTGATGATCCGGGGTAGAATAGGTCTTCAGCAACCCATGCTTGCCGTAAAAGGCGACTACGCTTGTAAAAGGCGACTAACGGGATCGGGTGGTCAGGCTCGGTGGCTTGGTGGATGCATGTCATCGATCCCAATTGCGTAGATCGATGCTCATGTTATCAATCACTTGTCTGCGCCAGACTCGATTATTACAGACCGCTGTCCTATAGCTGAAATATTGCTGAGTGCGGCGTTAAACAACAAACCAACCAACCAATCATTCATCACGCAGAATGTTCAGGTTCGATCCCCCTCAAGGATACAATGTATGAAGCCCGTCTCTGCTGTCCACCGCCATGACAAAGCTGGGATGTTGCTAAAAGTGGCGTAAAATCATACGCACTCACTTAGTGAGTAAAATAACGGCCATGTTGCACTGAGCCAAAGAAAGCTGTACACGTCTACACTATTTGCATTTGTTTTGTCTCATGAAAATTAAAAAAAACTTTCATGTCATGGAAGATTTTCAGGTGTTTAAATTAGAAGCAGAACCAGACATTGGTCATTTCAACACTTTCGTCTTTCGTCTTCACAATACTAAATGCATATATTCGTTAGATGTCAAAATGACTGATATTAGTGGCTTTGGGGAACTGTGTTAAATATTTTAACCTGTGCAAGACTTCGACCCAAACTAACTTTCCTACGCAGATAAAGATTGTACATACATCTGTGTTATACGAGTACATATTGTCAGATTTGCACTTAAACTTGGACGAATCATCATTTTTCGCTCTTTTTTGCCATTGTTCAAACTTCAGAACTTCAAAAGAAAAATGATGGGTGTCAACTTGCCTGATAATATTTATACAAACATCGAGACATCACACTTCCAGGAGTCCAAAGAGACCCATTGTAATAACTCGTCCTCTCATTTTCTGTCTCCAGCTATTGATTTTGACGAAGTGAATGTAAGAAGCTATACCGCGTGGTCGTTAATGGATAACTTTGAGTGGGAAGGTGGATACCATGAAAAGTTTGGAGTTCATCATGTCGACTTTAATAGCACCAACAGGACGAGGACCCCGAGATCCTCTGCAGCTTTCCTGCGACACGTATGTATAAAATACCCTTTCAAAACGACCTGGTCAAACTTGTCAATAACAGTCTTAATGACAAAACCGGATTTTGTACGGACAAAACCAAAGCCAAGAGGACTTGATTTGTACAGATTCAACTGTTTACAGAGCGCCATGATAACAGTATAATCATAATTAAGAAATGAAAAGTCACCCACTCACTCAGATAGCGTTGGTGCGCATGCCCAAGTTAGATATTATATGTACAATGTGTGAAGTCCATCTGCTCACCAATCATATTATTTGCTTTTGGCTTCATTATATCTGTAAAATAATTACAGCGAAGATGTTTTCTATCTGAAAGGTCTTCCACGATAATGGCTTCAAACGAGGCGCCTTGACAGATCCCAATAGACAACCTCTACCTTTTGAGAATGAAATGTTTCCTGGAGTATTCCCAGAAGACTTTGCGTGGGGGTCTTCTACTTCCGCTTACCAGATAGAAGAGCTGTTGGACACAAAAGGTAAACACATACATCAGGAAGAGCCTTTAACGTAGTGACGTGACATGCACTTAATGAAATCAGTTACCTGGTTCTCGCATAGTACAATCATCTTTGTTATACACCTGTGAAATGCACTTAATGAATTTAATTACCTGGTTCTCGCATAGTACAATCATCGTTGTCATACACCCGTGAAATGCACTTAATGAAATCAATTACCTTGTTCTCGCATAGTACAATCATCGTTGTCATACACCTGTGAAATGCACTTTATGAAAGGCTAATATCACTTGGTGACACGCTATTCCCTCGGTTTTTATACAACATAATACCCTTTATGCAACTGAAAACAGGGATGTGAAAACAGATTTGCCTTTTGATTGTAATACAGGTATCAAGTGACTATGGGAAAAAACCCGTTAATACGAACGCCAGTGTTCTTAGTGTTTTTCGTATGTGTGTTTGTTGTTTAACGCCACACTCAGCAATATGCCAGCTATCTAAAGGCGGTCTGTTAATAATCGAGTCTGGACCAGACAATCAAGTGATTGACATCATGAGCATCGATCCACGCAATTGGGAAACGATGACATGCACCAACGAAGCCAGCGAGCCTGACCACCCGATCCTGGTGATCTTAGTGAAACATTTTGATTTTGAGATATTCGTATGAACGAATAGTTGTGACAGGTGACTTGGTATGTACATTCTCACCCCGTGGGGATCCGGGTTGGATCTTCAGCTGCTCCTTCCTGTCCCATGTGAAGGTATTTGTTTTCAGCAACCCATGCTGGTCGTATCGTCAACGCCATTAACACTCGAGATGTAACATTGCAAAAAAAAACACTGTTCAGAATATAGACAAACTCCGTTTGGACTCGCGCTAGAATAAAACCCAAGTACTGTCATGGTTGTCGTAATAGGCGACCAAATAGAATAGTGGTAAGGCTCGATAACTTGGATGATTGCGTACCATCTTACCCCAAACAAACACACACATGGTATTGTTTATAGGAAAGGGGTTCAATACCTGGGACGTTTTTACATGGGCCAACTTGAAACAGACAGCTGACAGAGGTTTCATGCCCTCGAAACAGTATATCGATGTTGTTGCAGCTCTCAAAGATATTGGGGTAAGATTTCAGAAAACAACTCGATGTTGACAACATGTATAACTGTTTTCTACTATTCAAACACTGACTGAATTATGCAATTCAGGAGGCATATTCATTCATTCAATTAACAACATCAATGCTTGATCAGAACAGGTCAGAAGAAGTTCCTAATACAAAATGCATGTTGGATACGTAATCAGATGGTTGCGTACATAGTTTGTGACCTTGCTGATTATGTTATTGTAACCTGATGGCTAGGATCGTTTCAATCAATCAATTTGTTTTCAGAATGTAGACCATCCTGTCCGTTCACATGTATTGTGTTATTACATAACTAATCAAGTACTGATCGAAACAGTGTTCCAATAAATAAGACCCGTGAAGATTCCGGGTTAGAATAGGTCTTCAGCAACCCATGCTTGCCGTAAAAGACGACTATGCTTGCCGTAAAAGGCGACTAACGGGATCGGGTGGTCAGGCTCGCTGACTTGGTTGATGCATGTCATCGATCCCAATTGCGTGGATCGATGATCATGGATCACTGGATTGTCTGGTCCAGATTCGATTATTTAGAGACCGCCGTCATATAGCTGGAATATTGCTGAGTGTGGCGTTAAACAACAAACCAAACCAACCAATCCAATAAATAATATAATACATGCAGATCAATACACACATAACACCTCTATCATGTACTAGTCCGAATACAACGCAAAGATAATATATTAAATAAAAACAGTACCAACATCCACATTCTATATGTATGTACAATAGGGATGCAAATAATTAATGCTCAATTTCTTCTAACATTATTTCTATCCAGTCTTTCCTTAACATGAAGCTAACATATAGTCATGCCCCAATTTCCAAACTTCAACTTGACCTTTACACCTATAAAGAATGGTACTATTTAAACAAAGATGATCTTTTACTCCTTGTATTCCTGTTGTTCTTATATAACGGACAAGTAAACACAAATAGCTTTTAACTTTCCACATTGCTTGTGTTTAATGTATAAGATCAATATCTGTCTTTCTTCAGACCTCATCTGAAAATGAGATTTTCATGTGTAGCAGATACATTTCCGGTTCTAACACAGAATTAAGTTGTTGGTATAATTCTAGTTAAAAAATCCCTTACAAATTGAGTTCAACGCCTGAAGACGCTGAATGAATGTTTTTAGAAATATAAACTCATGTCCAAAAGAAACGATACCAAGTGTTCGAAAAGTTATGGAAGAAAAACAAAACCATACAGAAAATTCATATTGGTATACTTCATTAGAGTAATCATTTAACATCATGTGTACAAAAATTCATTTTAATCATATTTTAACATGCAGACGTCTGTGTTGGTGTTGTGTTCCTAACGTGTCGGGTCAACAGTTTTAACAATAGATCTGCACGTGTATTACGTGCTACGGCACATGACATCGTTTTTTACACAAATTGTCAAAATTTCCCGCTTTTTCCCACCGATCACAGTTGGCTTGGTACGTGGGGTATGTTTAAATATGTTTTCATATAAAGTAAATCACTTATAACTCAAAATAAATTAAAAATAGTTGGTATCGTTATTTTTGGACATTAGTTTATCTGAGCAATCCCTGCATATCCAAATTGGCTTAAAAACATCGAAATAGACTAATTATACTGGGAAGCCAAATTGTTTTTTCAAATATACATTTTCCTATCATTTGGCGATGAAACAGAGCATAAACATGTTTGGAAATCGTTGTCATAATAGAATACATGGCAAAATAATTATAAAGTGACTGAAATATTTTTGCGTTCTGTCAGTTGCCTGAGAGATAATGACAGTCATTTTACACATTGACTGTAACAGATATACATACATTAGGTACTGCACAGGGAACCTCATTTGAGACATTCACTCTTTGTCTAATTCCACTTATTACTCACACCGTGTTCAAAATGCTAAAATACCATTTTCATTTTATTATGAGGTAAAGACGTATCACTTTTCACTCTCGTGGTCCCGAATCTTACCGAAAGGAAAGTCGGAAGAAGTCAACCAAGATGGCATCAATTATTACAACGAGCTGCTCTTGGCTCTGGCTGATGCTGAGATTGAACCAATCGTGTCCCTTCACCAGTGGGACACCCCAGCTGCCATTACAAACGGTTGGCTGGATAACAACATCGTGGAAGCCTTCGGGAACTACTCCAGAATATGCTTTCAGAACTTCGGAGATAAGGTAACAAGGATGTCGATACGGAAACATATGTCCTTGTATATTTAATCTTTGGAGAGTATTTCACCTGTAACTATTAATTTGTTTTGTATTTTTGTCATACTAGAGTAATGTATTACATTTTCAGACGTAAGAATTGTCAAAAGCAAAGTCTTTTTATTTACAGATAATTGATTACAGAATATCTCTACACAATGATTAGAGTGTTGTTTTTTTGTTGTTGTTTTTTTGGGGGGGGGACACAAGGTGGACAAGAGTCATCAGGGTATGACATATCCCCCGGACTGGTGCAATTCGGAAATCTGGCGTTTGGCTACTTATATCCCTCTTTTGGTTCATTGCCATCGAATACATTAAGTTCAGTGAAGAAAAAAATAATATTGTTTAGAATGTTTCAAAATCTCAAACCATCAAAAGGCACCAGTTCACCGCTTAAGTGAGCTGTATTGCAAATTCCATCAAGTAATATTCAACAGTTTTCGAGTTCTGCTCCGGAAACGAGCACTACCCCCATTTTCAGTAAAATCCAACCTGTCGTCATGAAAAAAATTCCCCAAATCATCAAAAGGCAGCATTCACTACAAGGCTGATCTAAAAAGTTTCAACAAGAAACCTTTAACGGTTTTGGAGTTCTGCTCCGGAAACAGAAAACGGATGCTGATCGCCTTATGCCTCCTGTTTTTCAAAGGGGTGTTGTTGTGATGACAGATTTATCATATATATTTATTGTGGTTGTATATTGCAGGTCAAAACGTGGATAACCCAAAATGAACCGAATACTCTAGCACTGTATGGATACGAGTTAGGACAGCATGTCCCAAGGGTCAGAGGTCAAGGGTATCGTGCCGCCCACACCATGATCAAAGCACATGCTGCAGCGTACAGGATTTATCAAGAGGATTTTAAGAAGATCCAAAACGGTACTTACAAGTCATCTGACAGATAGACAGACAGAAAAGGAACGACCATTTGATATTCCGGGGAGCCCTGGGATTGTACCGACAAAAATATACTGTCACCGATCAACATTCTAGAAAAAAGATAATTATGCTTCAGACTGTTGAAGAAAAACATGAAATTGCCTGCCACAAAAATTACATTGTTGCAAAGTGTTTTTCAGGCTCAGCGTTTTAAATACAAAAAATATGTTGTCCCTAGGGCCATTGCACAATCGAGATGGAAAAAAAATAATTTGATCTACACACTGAATAAACGGCTGGAGTAAATGCACTTTATGTTAAGGGATATATGTTTTTCTACTAATCTTTAGCACTTGACAAAGAGATTTGATTAAGCATTTAATAACATGGATGTTGTCGGTTGACATGATGAGTCGTTATCTATAAGCTGAGACCTTGTGCTGATGTAACCCACATTTCATTCGTGATAAAAAGGTGTTATCTTATCTTACCAAAGTTTCCGCTGTTAGTGGATTGATGATATGATTGGTGAAACATCCTCTTCTAGGCTTGAAATGTGAACAACAGTAACGTCTGATGCATTGTGTCCTTTATGCCAAACAGTTTTGTTTCTACTGGGTTTATATACGTACTGAATAACAAAGGTTCCTGTGACATTGAATAAGATTTAATACAAAGTTATGTTTTTTACCAAATCTGAAACAATTTCGGTTTGAACAGATAAAAGACTGTAAGTGTTCCAATGGTTTAATTTGCCATACTGACTTCAGAAAATGCGTGATTTCATAAAAAAAAAAAATGAACATGCCAAAATGTCAATTTACAAATCAATAGCCTGTGTGTCCACCTCTGGTTGCGATGCAAGCAACACATCTTCGTCTCAGGGAATGGACCATGCGTCGCACAAAGTCCCATGGGATATCTGTCCATATCTGGTGGAGCATGTTTCGAAGTTCCTGGAGTGTCAATGGAACACGTGGTTGACGCCGATCCATCTCATCCCATATGTGCTCGATTGGTGAGAGACCAGGGGAGCGAACCGGCCAGGGAATGACATTCACGTTGTTTTGTTGAAGAGAATCCTGAACAAGTCGAGCAATATGAGGCCGGACGTTGTCATGTTGAAAGGTAATGTCTGAGCCATGACGACGCAAAAACGGGAGAACAACAGGGCCGATGATATCGTCGCGGTAGCGCTGTTCATTGAGATTTCCCTTTACCACTATCAAACGGGTCCTCTGTCTTGCCGTAATCCCGCCACATACCATAACGCTGCCGCCCCCGAACAGACCTTCTTCCATGACACAATGATTGACGTAACGTTCACCTCGACGTCGGTACACTCGAATCCCTCCATCGCTGTGGCTGAGGTGAAAACGAGACTCGTCAGTGAATAGAACTTGTCCCCACTGCATGGCCGTCCACCGTGGACGCTGTCTGCACCACTCTAGACGTTCTTGGCGGTGGTTTCCTGTCAAAGTGGGACGTCTGGCGGGTCTTCTGGCGACAATCCCTGCACATCTGAGTTGGCGACGTACGGTTTGTGAAGATATTCGTCGAAGGCCAGGGATGCTTCTTGCAGTCACTGTTTCTGGCTGGAATCGATTTCGTAGGTGTGTTGTTCGAATCTAGTTGTCTTGTCGATTACTGGTTACGCCTGGCCTGCCACTCCGAGGATGGTCTCTGACTGCATTCGTCTGTTGCCAACGTTGCCATAAACACCAAATGGTGTTTCTGTGGACGTAAAATTGTCTTGCAACATCCCGTTGACTCGATCCTGCTTCAAGCATATCAATGGCTCGCAGACGCTCATTTTCGGACAGGTGTGGCATTTCGTAATTTTGAATAATTGCATAATTTTGTTGTTTTTCTGAGTGGTTGTTGTCAGCACGATGCTAAACAATGCATGTGGAATCCCGTCAACGCACATGTTTTTATATCCATTCTTGGGTAGTGAAATGCATGGGGCTTGCATAAAAGTCAACTTTTGCATGGAATGCATGCTTTTCTGACTTGATTCCATACATGTACTACAATATTGAAAACCAAACTTTACCTGTTTGAAAAATACTCTAAAATATTGGTGTCACAGGAACTTTGTTGTTGAGTATATTTTGAGTATTTATGTGCAATGAGTGAGTGAATGAGTGAGTGAGTATGGTTTTACGACGCTTTTAGCAATATTCCAGCAATATCACGGCGGGGGACACCAGAAATGGGCTTCACACATTGTACCCATGTCGGGAATCGAACCCGGGTCTTTAACGCTTTAACCACTAGGCTACCCGACCGCCCCTTATGAACAATGAGACTTTGTAGAAGTTAAAAACCTTTAGAACGAATACCGTTTCGAATGTCTATAAACATATATTAATGAACATTAAAATACCTTTGATTACACGTACAATTTCGTAGAGTAAGGTACTTTATTGGCGTTTTAGCGTATATGACATTTCCAGGAAGAGTGGGACTTGCAGTGTATTCTTCTTGGGCTCTGCCAAAGTCGGAAAGAGTCCCTGGTGATTGGGCCGCTCAAGACCGGAAGTTTGCCTTCGACTTTGATTGGTTCGTTGACCCAGTGCTCCTGGACGGAGAGTACCCGGATGTCATGAGGAGAGAGGTGTCTCTCAGAAGCAGAGAACAGAATCTTAACCAATCCCGTCTCCCGGTGTTTACAGACGTAGAGAGGAACATGATCAGAGGTGAGGGACTCCTATGTTGTTTGTTTGTTGTTTAACGCCTCACCCGATCCCGCTAGTCGCCTCTTACGTCAAGCATAGGTTGCTGAAGACCAATTCTTACCCGGAATCTTCACGGGACAGCGTGTGTCTCCCATGTGCAGAGTGGGTATGGTACATATGGAAAGGAACAGAATGGTAACCAGTCCCATATCATTGTGCTTACAGAAAAGGAGAAGAACGTGGCCAGAGATGGCGAGGGGACAGTCACTACAATACATGAATCAAAGATCTGCGTAAGCAACATACGAACACGTATATAAATCTGAGAGATGTGGTCCATATAAAGAACAGAAACGCACCCAATTCCTTTAAGTCATTAGCGGGGTGTACGGTATTCACAAACTCAATTGGCTTTCACAACACGAGAAACGACACCTACCTCAGTTTCAGCTAAATCTAATTTTTTTTAAACGGAAACAGAGGAAAAATCAAATTTTGAAAACTTCCTAAATAGCTAAAGGCATCACTTCAGCCCTTGCTTACTAAATGAATGTATCATGTTTGGATGAAATGTCTTTCACGGTTTTCAAGTTGTGCTCCGGAAACAAAATCCAACCCGGTCAAGCCCCTTCTGCAGCAGACCTGGTTCCCAGTATTCTACGTTGTCATGAGAGTCATACCCGTGATCTTCAGCAACCCATGCTTGCCGTGACAGGCGACGTTGCTTGTCGTAAGAGGCAACTAGCGGGATCGGGTGGTCAGGCTCGCTGTCCACCATGCATGTGATCGTGTCCCAATTGCCTGGATCGATGCTCATGATGTCAGTCACTGGATTGTCTGGTCCAGGCTCGGTTATTTACAGACCGCCGTCATGTAGCTGGAATAGTGCTGAGTGCGGCGTTAAACAACAAGCAAACAAACAAACAAACCATGAGAGTCAACCTAAATGGATCGGTTAGAAAGGCTGTGTGACTTGACTGATTCCGTTACAGGTTTGCCTGGTCCAGACTATATTTAATCATATAAAGGCTTGTATTGTCGATATAATAAACCAACCGATAAACTTGGTATCATGATCCGATAAATATGCAAATGAGGAGCAGCTTTCATGCTCCATACATCAATGCGATGTCTTCTTTCTCGGTATACTGTTGACAAACGTTCCCGATATGCTTAGATAGGCTTTCCAATGTGTCCCTGAAACATGGCTGCAAATCATATGGCACTATGTGATAAAATGAACGATTCACTCAAACATTGTATTCATACGCGATTTCTAAAGCATCTTCCTTACTGTAGGGGCGGTTGGGTAGCCTAGTGGTTAAAGCGTTCGCCCTTCACGCTGAAGACCCGGGTTCGATTCCCCACATGGGTACAATGTGTGAAGCCCATTTCTGGTGTCCCCCCGTCGTGATATTGCTTGAATATTGCGAAAAGCGGCGTAAAACCATACTCACTCACTCACTAAGACCTATGTCACTTTGAGCTTTGCACATTAATAAGATGACACTCCGTGCACAAACTGTGCACTTTGTGTTAAAAAGTATGAAACTTGGCATTATATTAGATGTTGGGGTTATCACCATTTTTGGATATGTGCCAATCAGAAAAGTCCAATATGACAGCCAATTTCAAGATGGCCACCAGACGCTAGTTGAAGGTCTTATTTTCTTGAATTAGGTACATGTATATCTTTCAAAGTGATTGATGAAATAAATTATATCTAACTTAAAAAGTGTTGAAGTGGTGTAAAAGAAAACAGTTAAATGTTGAAGAGTCTGCTTTCCAAAGTACACAAAATGTTAAAAAGGGAACATGTTAAGGTAGTATAATGACTTGACAAAAGTAATGCACAAGTGTTTAATATGTCAAAATACATATCTTTGAATTTAAAAATTCAACGTTTTAAAAATGTGGTAAAATGAATTTCTAATATTGTGAATACATATTACAAAATGTTCCAGGATATTAAACACATGCGTATTTAACAGGCGCCTACCTTTCAATAAAATTTTCTTTTGAATTGGAGTTTCCGTAAACAATTTGAAACAATATCCGGTCCCTTTACCACTAATGGCTGCCGGTCAATATCAAGTACAACAGTCGAAAACGTATTTATAAAAAATGTCCCTTTAATCAACTTGAGAATACAACGTAACACAATACATTTCATCAATAAATATTATGTACTCTCGGCTAAACAAAACACGAAGACAAACATGTCATTCGGTGATTTTTTAATTTTTTCTTTGATAATTTGAATAATATATCCAAGAAATGCAAACCTACGACTCCAATTCTGGTTCCATTAGCGTAATGAGTTTCTGCAGGGAAATATATCTTCTCCAGCTATAATTGACTAACATTAACACTAGCTGTAGGCATTTGATGGAATTTCTTAAAGTAATTGGTTCCATAAAATATCTCTTTAAATAGTTTTGCCTCATGTTTAATAATACCTCCCTGCTAGACACGTTATATGTCGAGGAAAAAGTTAGTGTTTCGTGATGTTGGTAATTACAGTTAACTGAAAATGCAGACATAGTTTATTAATGACGCTTTTGTGTATACAAAGTTAACAAGCAAACGCAAGGCAGACTTTCGATCACACAACATGAATCTTATTAATGATGCCATGTGGTTATACCGAGGGGCATTATTGGACAAGAAGCCAGTCATCCAATACCTTGTTAGTGGACACAGTTACACATTGTATGAACATGTTTGTCATACTGGATACCAGATAGGGGTCTTCCATTCGACCTGTGTTGATTTATATGATGTTTGATATACAGGTAAGTTCACATAACTACATATTGACCAACTCTAGAAGCGAATGTTTCAGACAAATGTCCTTGGAAATGTGTCAAAGAAAGCCTTGTGTTTAAGTACATATGATTAAGACAACAACCTCAGTAGATAATTTTTTTACATCAAATACCCCCCCAAAATTCCTATTAAATCGGTTTTAAATATCTAATCCTGAACGGTATATTTGTTAGGTTTGGACAGATTTTTGTTTTATGTTAAAATTGGCCTCTAAGCTATGTTCTGATAACGTCAGAAGCAACGGTTGACCTCAAATTCCCATTGGTAACGTCATCTCCACTCAGCATATCAGTCAGCATTGCAAATTGCTAGAATATCAGAAAGTTTTGACATTCGAACTTGCCTTGTTTGTGGGAAATATAATACATATTGAGGAATGAAATATCATTCTAATGCGTATTTGTTTGTGCGCATTTGTTTGTCAAGCAATATGGCGTCGGTAAATAACGTGGACGAAACCAAACCATAAGTGTAGAATGACACCACATCAATAAAAGACCGAGTTTTAGTTGCATTGGTGATGTACATGTACCGACCGAACAGGATGTGAGGAACATGGTGCCAGTCATTAAGCGTTTTGGGCTCTCAAGTATGATCGGACCAGTATCTGTTCAGGAGTGCATGAGGCACGCAAAGAATTATTCACTATGAAAGTTAAAACAAATGATTCCATTTCCCCTACACCAGCTGCTTTGTACCAGCCTGTCAAACCAGCAGCATTGGAAGCTCGCCACTGTTGGAGACGATGTCTGGATGGGTAATATCAGAAGCACATGAGCCTTTGTGGACTGCACTACCACAAGCTTCTAAGTGACGCCAAGAGCTTCTGAGCTGCAGCTGTATTTGTGTGTTTGTTGTTTAACGCCGCACTCAGCAATATTCCAGCTTTATGACGGCGGTCTGTAAATAATCGAGTCTGGAGCAGACAATCATGACATCATTGACATCATGAGCATCGATCCATGCAGTTGGGATGCGGTGACATGCATCAACCAAGTCTGACCACCCGATCCCGTAAGTCGTCTCTTGTGACAAGCATATTCGCCTGTGACGGCAAGCATGGGTTGCTGAAGACCTATTCTACCCCGGATCTTCATTGGTAAAGCTGTAGCTGTAACTCTGAGAAAGGATGCAGAGCCAAGGTGTAAATATGTTGTGGCGCGGTTGATTTGTACACTACTTGGCATATTTGGTGGCGACTGTTATCGCATTTTGTTGTCACTGGCCCACAAAAACATTAGCCATGTACACCATATTTCACTGAATACAAATGCTGTTATTTAAATATTCTGTCGTTATTTTATTGACCTTCTGAGTATATATAATGTTGCTATGGTCTGTTGGCTTTAATGAACCAAGTCATAAAGTTATGCCGAAGAAGAAGGTATTATTTCACCTCTATTTTGCCTTTTACGCCGAATCGAATCTGTTTCGGCAGATAATCGAGACGAATCTTTCATCTGGCGTTGACGTTTTGAATTTTACATACATGTAATTGTTTGTTCATTATATCAGGTTCGGCTGACTTCCTCGGCATCAGCTACTACACCACCAACATAGTGGAGGATCGACGTCACAACGACGACACCGCCCCACCCTCCATCACTGACGACAGAGCCGTCACGGTGTCGGTAAACACATCAATGGCAAGGTGAAGCTTTAGTTTTACGTTTTATGAAAATCGTTTCACATGATTTACTTTTAAATAATTTTCAACAACCCAGTCATTTTTCGTATTACATCTGAATATCCAGATGATTCAAGAAAATAATGTACACATTTCTGAAGGTATTAAATGAATAGAAGATGATGTTTAGCACATGATTTTTGTCTACTTTTTATTTTTTACAAACATAGCTATATGTGACACAGTAAGCGACACAGTAGGTATGGTATTACGCCGACTGAAGCAATTCTCGGGCAATATCACGGGGAGATACCAGAAATGAGATTTAATCACTGCATCATGTGGGAAACAAACCGTGGCATTCGTCGTGACACTGTATCCACTAGGCTATCCCACCGCCCCTTCATGACAAAGAGGATAACATGTGGATACAACTACAACTATATATTCACTTTTCAGTACTAACTGTCCACGGCTTCACATGTACCCCAAGGGAATCAGGATGGTACTGAGAAGGGTCAAACAGCGGTATGGTAACATCCCCGTCTATGTTACCGGTAACGGCGTATCAGACAAGCCAGGTACAACTGATGACACGGATAGAGTGGAGTACATGAAGTCCCACACCAATGAAGTACTGAAAGGTAGCTGTGACTCCAGTACTTGTTATGGGACAGTTGTCCGAATGACTAATTATACCATACGCGTGCTTGTACATTCCCGAAATTGTGAAAAGAATTCTGGCCAAGTTATTTAAGTCCTTATGGACACGCAAACAATTTCTGCTTATCACAGAATAACCTGTATTCAAAGAAGGCCGTTGACTTGCACGAACAATATGCGTAGGGATTTGGCGTTACACAGTTTACAGTTAAGTAATGTAATATCACTACTCCTTCATTGCTAAACTGTGAAGGTAGCGGAATACCTTGAATGGACTCGAATGCTATCTTTGAATACCAAAGATTCCATCTTCATTGACCGTTTGAGGGCTGAACAAATCATTTCGCTTTGGTAGATACTTAAATAAATATAATAACCTGCCATTCATCAGAAGTTTCCCACGAAAGATGTAATATCTCTTTTGCGGGAAACAAAGGGACTATGTCACAAAGCGAATGATTAAGGTGACTTGGTTTAATAATTTAACACTAAATAGTGAACCTCATACAATGTAAAGAAAGAAGACAAGTGTCAAGACAAGACAAAGGAAAGTGTCAAGTTATCCAGTTGTTTTGCTGACGTGCAGGGTAACATTCCTATGATCATGGTTCTAATTCCTGATTCGTCCTGATTATGATTCTTGGTCTGTCAGCATCATACCCGTTCTCATGGGTATCACCCAAGTGGTAATTATATGTCTAAAACCTGTATCACTGCGGTCTTTCCTCCCACAATAAGCTGATTAACCTGAGGCGCCGTGATATATTGAAACCCTGTCCTCAGTATTGTCACACAAAACTCACTCTCTCACTCCTGTCGTGTGGTTTCTACTTAACGTCTGCACACTGAAATATATTCGTACCGTATATACAAAACGTTTAATGCAAGATCCATTTGTACATTATATAATATAATACGACTATAGCATGGTCCGGTGCTATATGAGAATGTAGGCTTCGATTCATGCCGCTTTGAGCACTATTCAAATAATATCACTGCGCGCAAGCTTCAAGTAAGGCAGAGTTTACTATACTGATCAAACCCACGGACACAGTTAAGATGCTGACACAACAAGGGTCATCATCTTAAATTGAGGCCAATCTTGAAATCGGATTCTGGCATGGCGAAGAATTGAAACTTTGTGCAGCTCTTTTGCGACATCACCGACAACGTCTATTTGACGCTCACCAGAAATCGGTTACCTTTACATATTTCAGCTATACAACTCGACGGCGTTGACGTTCGTGGTTACATGGCCTACACCCTCACCGACAGCTTCGAGTGGAAATACGGCTACAGCGTTGCTTTTGGTCTGTACTACGTCAATTTTACCGATCCAAAACGAGATTGGCATCCTAAAACGTCGTCAATATATTATGGTAGTCTTATTCGAAACAATGGGTTCTTGCATCGGAAACACAATTCTACAACCTAGGTTTGTCACTGGGGACGAATGTCCAGGATCACATTTTGGTTGCTTTTATAGGATTTATGATTGTCATTTTTCTCTCTATCATACCATTAGTTTATTGATACACATTCGCCCCAGAACCACCCACTAGTAGTTGAGTTGTAGGACATTTGCATTTTCCACACACAGGTACTTTACCAAACCATGTTCGATATATTTTGACAGTAAGCATACGTGAATGTTTTGTCTTTGCCAATGACCAAATAAGCAGACATGCGTACATATGTAAATATTTCAAAGAATGAACAGGGTCAATTTATATAGTTACACTCGTATATCGGGAAAGTCTCACTGGAAAATCAAAGATTTTCCACACGCTGTCACGCCTTTTGACTTTTAAACATCTATTTCCTTTTTGTTTGCACATTGGTTTCATCATCTGCGATGTTCGCGTAACCAACATGGATTTATATCATTGCATTGTCTCGAATAAAGAACATGACGCCATCCACTGTTTATATCTTGCATAGGATGGAAGTTTGTTTTGTTTATTTCGTCTCCGTTATAATTTAGTCGCTTCTTATAATAATATGAATAATGTTTGGCCTATTCCAACCTGGTCTCCAGGGGGTATTTTTTGACGTCGTTCCAACAATAAATCGACTGTCTTGACTTTTTGTGTGATCTATTTTCATTTCGTACAATTACATTATGAGTTAAATATGGAATAGCAAATTTATGTACTTAAACTATAATTAACAACAGTCTGGGACGAATTGCAGTTTATTTCCTCTTAACTTTAAGGTAATTCACGAAGTTTTTGCTGGGAAATCTCTTACTGTATCCGTCTGGTTGTACATGTGGTTGTACAGGCGCCTGAATGAATCTGGTGATCCGTTAAACAAAAGCTTGCAAGAAGTATGGCAGCTTAGTATCTAACCAGTCCTATTCTAACAGACATGGGCGTTTGAAGAAGTAAAACCATCCAATAACACTTGATGCTTCGGCGGATCCCACTCTCAGCTCACAGCCATGAGTGTTGTAGTTGTAGTTGAAGCCGATGCAGGTTCTGTTGTAGATGCAGTGGGTGCTGCAATCAGCTGCAGATGCGACATCAACTTGGATTACATCCCCGACATACCTTGTTCCCACCATGCGATGAAGGTCGGTGCTGAAACCTATGAAGACAGTTTTAGGAAGAGACAATGAATCTAGAATCTGACATATACAATAACAATAGTCTAGTTCTTAAAACCTCAGCTTGTAATATGTAGACGATTTTGTTTTTTTGTTTTTTGTCGTCTAACGGCGTTAATGGTCGAGTCGAGTCTGAGCAAGACAATCCGATGACATATTTTTCATTTAATCACCGGGGCGGTCGGGTAGCCTTAGTGGTTAAAGCGTTCGCCCGTCACGCCGAAGACCCGGGTTCGAATCCCGACATGGGTACAATGTGTGAAGCCCATTTGTGGTGTCCCCCGCCGTGATATTGCTGGATTATTGCTAAAAGCGGCGTAAAACCAAAACTCACTCACTCACTCACTCACTCATTTAATCACCAAGCCTGACCACCAGACTCATTATTCGCCTCTTATGACCAGCATCTGTAAACGCAATGACACAGTTCTTGGATCTTTTTCACTTTCAAGACATTATATGAATTTTTAGATTTGAACCAGGGAATATGTTTATGAAAAAAACTCGAGGAAACACAACCAACCAAATGTCGGTGGTATTGGGTTTTATTTTGCAAAAATATAGAATATGGGATATCCAGTCCATGTGTGCTTGGGATGGTGGCGTTATGATCTGGGGAATAACGGCTACAGGAAGGACTAAATGATTGTGATTGATGTGAATTTGAATGCTGCGAGATATCGAGAATAGATTTTGCCAAAGGGTCCTTTGGCATTTTGCATCTATGGCAGCACAATAATGCCAGACAAGACGTTGGTAGAATTTTGCAACAGTATCTTATACAGAAAAATGTTAATGTGTTACCCTGGTCTGCAACATCCCCTGACCGTTTAAATGGCTGGAATGAAAAGGAACGACGTTTGTAACGTCATCCAAATTCACAAACAACATTGTAAGAACTCCAGGTTATCTTCGACGTTAAGTGACCTCAGTTAGGCATGTCGGGTTTTCATCATGGCACAAGATGGACACACTCGCTACTGAATACGTGAACATGCCTTGTGTGACATTGCACATGTCAGGAGCGCGCCTCGTGTAGACATTTGCTTGTTACTGTATCGTTAGACATTGTTATTAATACGTGATAAAAAATCCATGGCAGTGTATTACTTTGAACGATTCTCTTTTTTGGTATGTTAACCTATTGCCTTTGAGTATATATGATTCTTCATGCTTGAAGGATAACAATGCCTCCAAACTGAGAACAATACACAAGAACCACATGCATGTGGTACAGATTCAGCCAACATATGCACCAGTAAACTTCACAATTTTCAATCAAAAAGACAAGGGTGTAGGAGATCGGTTTCTAAATGAAATAAACCCTTCCCATAACCATAAGAAATCTAAAAAACAGAATCAATTGTTCGATTCCGACCATATATTTATATCAAGGAACATTTGCAAAGCTCCAGCCTTTGGTGTTTACATTTCACAACTTTTGAGGTACGATCGAACATAATTACAAACATTGCAAAGAACGTCATTCAACTCTTGATGAAAAGTTGTTTGATCAGGGTTACAGCGTTCAGGGGCTTAGTAAAGCCATCCAAAAGTTTCACATGTGGAGCGCATTTCCAAATTTGACCCTTCAGTTACCAAAATGAGGACTGATACCATTCCCTATTTTGACCTGTACGCTATGTCCCAGCGTGTGTTCAGGTGAACACTTGTCTTTCGCGAACCCACATTGTCATCACAAGTTAATAGTGACTCATAAACATATGCTTATTAATAGTAAACTCGGAATCGTACAGTGGACTCTGCCAGAGAATTCTTATGGTTATGGTGAGTGAGTATTGTTTTACGCCGCTTTTAGAAATATTCCAGCAATATCACGGCGGGGGACACCAGATGCATATGGGCTTCACACATTGTACCCATGTCGGAAGTCGAACCCGGGTCTTAAGCGTGACGAGCGAACGCTTTAACCACTAGGCTACCCGACCGCCCATTATGGTTATGCAATGGGTTTTGTTGCTTGTGTAATCCTTTCGCGGACACCTGTTATGGCCATTTGATAGTGATTCATAAACTTACGATACAGTCGGAATCGTACAATGGATTCTGCTTTTCCTAGACATTTCTTATGAATATTGAAATGGTTTCCTGGCTTTTATTTATAGATTAAAGTGAAATACTTACACCCTGTAGGTGTTCTCTCAAACACTTCAACTTCACACAGTGTTAGTAGATCCGTTTCGTCCCGTCTGTCCAGACCCCGGATTCTGATATAACGCCCTTGGGCAGCACAAGAACATGAGATATTTTCTGTTGCACCACCAGGCATTGGCCCATCATACATCGCACAAAGGTGTGATGGGGTCGATGGTTCCAGTACGGGGTCATCCGCGAAGACCTCAATCTTTAGGTCATGCATTCGGTCACCTGGAAGATGCAGAGGAATTCTGAGCACAACTGGTGAGTTGAAAGAGGGCTTACAAAAGCGATCAAAATTATTTCACGTATATTATGCACATGTGTAAATGTACTAGTCTGGGCGTACGCTGTTTTCATAGAGCTAGTGGTTCATACAAGGTTGTTCCACGGCATTATGCTATTGTCTAATATAACTATGTTTTTGAGTGACTTAAGTATGATCTTTTTTATGCTTTGAGATAACATAGACAAGTCATTTGACAAAACTAATGAAACAGTCCATGAAAGTCCATTTATGAAAGTGCCATACCGACGGCCCTCGTTTCGATTCCCCACATGGATACAACGTGTGAATCTCAAGGAAGTGGCTGATATTTCTAGTCTAGTATATTTGCCACATAGGCCCGTATAGGGTAATGTGTCCTTACCACAACAATCCCCTCTGTTGGTTATGGTAATGTAGTCCAGTAAGAAGAAGCTTTGTAGGTCAACCATCCAGTAGGGCTGCATGTCCCCGGTTTGACTCTCCCAGCACGAGTTCCCTGAAAAGGCTGCTTCTCTGTTGCCATCTACTGCTTTGCCTTTGTTATTGGTGAAGTTTGAAGATTTAGTGGGTTTGCCTAAGGCTCGATTGTGGATACCTGACAGATTCAAGAGAAGAAACATAAATGAGGGACTGCTGGACATGGTGGATGTCCTGAAAACAATATGTTGTGTTGGAAACAAATGGCATATCTTCAAGCAGTGATTCTGTTACATGTCTTGCCGGTTGAGGCGTCAAAAAAAAAGTTTAAAGATAACTTCCTTGTCTGCTAGACATAGGAATGTGACTTGGCTGTCATGTTAGCCTCCCTGCTAGTCGTGCGATTGTAAGCTATATCCCATGGGAGCCTAGAGAAATATGAGAAATATAACCTAACCCACAAGGACGTATGTAGACATGAACTTGAACTGGAACCTACTTGCTGGACATTGGCATATACGTTAACCTTTATGAGACCCAACAGTCTCGATTTGAGAATGTCATTTAAATGCCACGGACGTCTTGATAGTGAAATAGAGTGAGTGAGTTTGGTTTAACGCCGCTTTTATCAGTATTCCAGTCTTGACCCAGTACGATATGACACCATAACATAACAGTAATAATGGGCATCTCACACAAAAGGATCTTGTTCAAATAAAATGTGTTAACATCATTATATAAAACAACGCTGAAGGATTTCCCTACTGGAAATGGACATCACACGTAAAGGGGACATGTACATGTCTCAGAACGATGTAGTAGTGTAGCATAACAGAAGTGGACAAATAGATAAGAAAAGGATCCGTTCCAGTACAATATGGTCATATTACCTTTCGCAAACTCACAAGAACATAAAACATAGAGGTATTGTCCCAAGAAGAAATAGTAATACAAAATATGCCACTGCAGAATATTTTGAGTGAGTGAGTGAGTGAGAGCGGTTTTACGCCGCTTTTAGCAATATGCCAGCAATATCACGGCGGGGGACACCAGAAATGGGCTTAACACGTTATACCCATGTCGGGAATCGAACCCGGGTCTTCGGCGTAACGAAAGAACGCTTTAACCACAAGGCTACCCGACCGCCCCTCAGATTCTTTTGAAGATTTATTATTAAAATAACGAAAGTTTTCACGCTTTTAAAAGGAATTTGGTATTTGGTTGAAATAAAATTTGTCTAGAATGTGGCCCTTTAAATGAAATTTACCTGAGGAGACGCGTACATGATAAAATGGCCTTATTACAGATTTCAAACAAAATATATTAAAATAACGGTATTAGATTGAATACAATATGCCTAGAATGTGCCCCTTTACATGTACTCACAACATATAAGTTAAAAACTCCACGACAGGACAATTTTAATGATTTTCATTTAAAGTAAGCACAGTAAGATCGATACACTTTGTTGTACGTCAACAACATAACGTATTGAACATATGCATGACTGCAAGTATTGATACTCTGTATCTGTTGACGGCCTGTGTCAGTAAGACTTGTATTTGTTGCAGATTGCACACACTGATGGGACTCAATTATAGGATGATTTTTGTGTGATTTCTCTTCATTGTCGCTCAAATTTTATAACGTGATGTGTCAATTTTTTAAAAGCAAATACTTGTACTTAAAACATAATCCACAACAGGCTAGGACGAATAATGATTTATTTCTTCTTACCTTTAAATTTATTCACGAAGTATTTGTTTGTATTTGTTCCAGATAGAACACATTGATGGGACTCAATTTCGTCTGTGATTTCTCTTCATTGTCGTACAGATTATGTTTTGAGTCAACTTTGGAATAGCAAATACTTGTTCTTGAAAATATAACCCAAAACAGGCTAGGACGAATTGTAGTTTATGTCTTCTTAACGGACGGGGGGCACTGGTGGCCCAGTCGTCGAAGGCGCCGCGATTCGCTGTGCAGTGTTGCGTCCCTTGGGCACGCCAGAAACCTAAGATTGTGGGTTCGAATCCCGGTCAGGTTGAGGCGTCAAAAAAAAAAGTTTAAAGATAACTTCCTTGTCTGCTAGACATAGGAATGTGACTTGGCTGTCATGTTAGCCTCCCTGCTAGTCGTGCGATTGTAAGCTATATCCCATGGGAGCCTAGAGAAATATGAGAAATATAACCTAACCCACAAGGACGTATGTAGACATGAACTTGAACTGGAACCTACTTGCTGGACATTGGCATATACGTTAACCTTTATGAGACCCAACAGTCTCGATTTGAGAATGTCATTTAAATGCCACGGACGTCTTCATGCTATGAAATAGAGTGAGTGAGTTTGGTTTAACGCCGCTTTTATCAGTATTCCAGTCTTGACCCAGTACGATATGACACCATAACATAACAGTAATAATGGGCATCTCACACAAAAGGATCTTGTTCAAATAAAATGTGTTAACATCATTATATAAAACAACGCTGAAGGATTTCCCTACTGGAAATGGACATCACACGTAAAGGGGACATGTACATGTCTCAGAACGATGTAGTAGTGTAGCATAACAGAAGTGGACAAATAGATAAGAAAAGGATCCGTTCCAGTACAATATGGTCATATAACCTTTCGCAAACTCACAAGAACATAAAACATAGAGGTATTGTCCCAAGAAGAAATAGTAATACAAAATATGCCACTGCAGAATATTTTGAGTGAGTGAGTGAGTGAGAGCGGTTTTACGCCGCTTTTAGCAATATGCCAGCAATATCACGGCGGGGGACACCAGAAATGGGCTTAACACGTTATACCCATGTCGGGAATCGAACCCGGGTCTTCGGCGTAACGAAAGAACGCTTTAACCACCAGGCTACCCGACCGCCCCTCAGATTCTTTTGAAGATTTATTAATAAAATAACGAAAGTTTATACGCTTTTAAAAGGGATTTGGTATTTGGTTGAAATAAAATTTGTCTAGAATGTGGCCCTTTAAATGAAATTTACCTGAGGAGACGCGTACATGATAAAATGGCCTTATTACAGATTTCAAACAAAATATATTTAAATAACGGTATTAGATTGAATACAATATGCCTAGAATGTGCCCCTTTACATGTACTCACAAGATATAAGTAAAAAACTCCACGACAGGACAATTTTAATGATTTTCATTTAAAGTAAGCACAGTAAGATCAATACACTTTGTTGTACGTCAACAACATAACGTATTGAACATATGCATGACTGCAAGTACTGATACTCTGTATCTGTTGACGGCCTGTGTCAGTAAGACTTGTATTTGTTGCAGATTGCACACACTGATGGGACTCAATTATAGGATGATTTTTGTGTGATTTCTCTTCATTGTCGCTCAAATTATAATTACGTGATGTGTCAATTTTTTAAAAGCAAATACTTGTACTTAAAACATAACCCACAACAGGCTAGGACGAATAGTGATTTATTTCTTCTTACCTTTAAATTTATTCACGAAGTATTTGTTTGTATTTGTTCCAGATAGAACACATTGATGGGACTCAATTTCGTCTGTGATTTCTCTTCATTGTCGTACAAATTATGTTTTGAGTCAACTTTGGAATAGCAAATACTTGTTCTTGAAAATATAACCCAAAACAGGCTAGGACGAATTGTAGTTTATGTCTTCTTAACGGACGGGGGGCACGGGTGGCCCAGTCGTCGAAGGCGCCGCGATTCGCTGTGCAGTGTTGCGTCCCTTGGGCACGCCAGAAACCTAAGATTGTGGGTTCGAATCCCGGTTCGCCCCGATTATGGTTCTAGGTTTGTCAGCACCATACCCGTGCTCGTGGGTTTCACCGAAGTGGTAAACGTCTGAGACCTGCATCACTTCGGGCTTTCCTCCCACATTAAGCTGACACGCCGCGATAAAACTGGAATATTGTTAAAAGCGGCGTTAAACCCAACTCACTCACTCACTCACTCACTCTTAACGGATGACGGGCGGGCACTTACTTCTGTGTGCAGGTTGTGCTGATGGCGCATGCTGTCGTTGGGGTGGGACAGGATTGCCCTTTTCGCGGACACCTTGAGTCATCGTTTGGTGGTCACCCCTGTTTTGCCCTTTCCACCTGATGAAGTCTCTCGTCATATAATCGAGACTGATTATTCTTCAGTATTGTGGTTTAATATTGTGATATCAGTCACTGTTTTGTCTAGAACAGACTAGATTATCAACAGGCCGTCATCATATGGCCAGCATAACTGGGATATTACTGTCTGTTACGGACAGTGGCGTTGAAGAAAAAAAAACATATATGGAGAAATACTACCTATGCGGCGTAAGATACTCATGCACTTACTTACTCAAGCGAACGTATTTGCTCGTTACACATTGTGGATTTAAAAAATTCAACATCAGGCAATTAAGAAAGTATTATTTTTTTAATCAATTAATGTTTTTACTTTGATAAGGATGATCACAAGAACATTATTGACTGAAGCAACAACAAAGGAGGACGAGAAAAAATGTCTTTATTGATTTGGGGTTTTGAATTGAGGGCATGCCTGAGTAATGGTTCGTATGTTGTATTAAGCATCAAAAAGGATTTTTACGAAACAAATTGTTCCAGAAGACAAAATATTCGCCGATCTGTGTATATAATGACGAAGCATCGATTGTCCTTACTTCATTAAATTTTGCGTTATCATGATCACAACTTGCGATATGCCAGTGACAATAGGTTTCGAGGAATGTGAATGTTTCACAGAAGATGAATTAGTAAATTAATTTCGGAAGAAGTACAAGCGAATCCCAACCTGTGACCGACAATAGGGACGAAAATAATCAAGATGACCCTCATCTTGGGCGCATGGATTACAAGTGATTGCAAAACACAGATTGGTTCGGTTGTTTAGTATTTTATCTCTAAATCACAATAACCTTGCAACAGCGTTACAAACATGAAGCGACATGTCATAGCCTCTGTGAATCCGTGTTACTTGCTTACGTGTTACTATGCATTAATTATCTAATGCAGTTACTTGTTGTTGTGAGATGAGTGTCTATGGGTGATAAAATACCGTGGTTATTTATCACTAATTGGCTACAAAGATCAATCGAGGTATATCTTCAAAACGGCACGAATTGAGGGCGCGGCCGTGTGTGGAACTCGCGCCCCTAAAATTGAAAAGGAAATATCTTCCAATGTAAAATATATCATTTACCTTAAATTTAGGTTTCTTGACACGCCCTGACTCATGACATACTCATGACATACTTAGAACCGACACCTGTATTAATCCATCCAAACAACTAATGAAACAATCGCGTTGTGAGCTTTGTCCAAACGCAACGGTCTCCAACAGTAGTATGTGTCTGCACGTGAGTCAGAGACAGTGACGCGTGATCCGATTTCCATTGTTTGTTTGTTTATTGTTTAACGCCTCACACAGCAATATTCCAGCTATATGACGGCGGTTTGTAAATAATCGAGTCTTGACCAGACAGTCCAGAGATTGACATCAGCGGCGCTGCAATTCGCTGTACAGAGCTGTCCCTAAGGTGTGCCCAAAACCTATGATCGTGTGCTCGAATTCCAGATTCGCGGTCAACGCCAAAGGACTGCGTCACGGCGGGACTTTCTCCCAGATAAAGCTGTCTCTATTTAATATTATCACTATGAAACAAGCATGCACATATGACACAAAGTGCCCTTCCTTGATATTGGTTGGTTGGTTTGTTGTTTAACGCCGCACTCAGCAATATTCCGGCTATATGACGGCGGTCTGTAAATAATCGAGTCTTGACCAGACAGTCCAGAGATTGACATGATTAGCATCCATCCACGCAATTGGGATCGATGACATGTATCAACCAAGGCAGCGAGCCTGACCACCCGATCCCCTTAGTCGCCTTTCACGACAAGCATAGTCGCCTTTAACGGAAGACCTTGTCTTCCCCGGATCTTCACGGGTCCCACGCAGTTGCGATACGATGACATGCGTCAACAAAGTCAGAGAGTCTGACCACTCGGTTCCGTTAGTCGTCTCTTACGACAAGCGTAGTCGCCTGTTACAGCAAGCATGGTTTGCTGAAGACCTATTATACCCCGGATCTTCAAGGGTCTTGAACCATTATCACTACATAAATTGCTACATTAATTGCTTGACGTATCATACAATGCCCAATATGAAGCTAGTACGTGACCTGAGGAAGAAATTTGCCAAAACCAGGAATCAGTATTATGAACTTTTGACTTGACTCCAAATCATTCCTCTTTTGTACTACATGCCAAAGCTCCATAAAAATCCGTACAAAAAGAAGTTATATTCCTGGTTCCAACACATCCCTGTCTCAAACATTTACCATAATCCTAAATACAATGAAAGAAGGACTTTGTTTATATCCACAGAAAATATTTGGGGGAAGTGGAATCAATACCATATGTGGAGTCTCAAAAATTTGCTTGACTTTGTACAATCTCAGTAAAGAACCAAGTTCAGTTCTTGATTGTTCAACATTGTACACCACTATTCCACAAGACAAACTCAAGAAAAAACTTCATTCCATGATACATATTTTTTTGTCACAAAACATGATACAGAAATGGTTACATATTTATCTTCAGAGGTTTAGGTCAATTTGTCATTATAAGACACTTACGGTAGAAGTAAGCATTCACATGGCCACCAGTTGTGATCCCGTTCTTGCTGATCTGCTTCTTTGTGCATATGAATCGGAATTTCTGCCCGGATTTGCAAAGTCAAAGTTTAACTTAAGCTACGGGTATACTGATGTTCTGATATCGTTCAATAACCATCAGACAGCCAATTCCCTTCCACTGATTTACATACCTAAACCAGAAATAAAGGAGACCAGTGAGACCGCCTCATCTGTATCATACTTAGATCTGTACATAAAGATTCAGAGTAACGAAAACCTCTCCACAAGACTGAATGACAAAAGGGATAACTTCAACTTTCCAATAGTCAATTTCCCTTTATGTCAAGCAATATTCCTCCACCACCATGACTTGGCGTCTACATTTCACAAAGTTGGAGGTACAAGCGAGCATGCTCTTTCTACCAAGATTTCAAAGAGCGTCATATAACTCTTTCTCAGAAGTTGTTTGATCCAGGTTACAACATTCCAGGCCTCCGTAAAGCTTTCACAATGTTTTACGGTAGACATGTGGAGGACATTTCAAACTTTGACTCACCAGTGACAATTCCCTATTTTGATTTCTACCATACGTTCTCGTGTATTCTCGGCTACACAATTCACTTGAATGTGCATGTGTTTGTGACCGGTGCCATCGACGGGGCAGGATACACTGACCTTTTCGCGGACATCTGCTATCATCAATAGATTCCTAACCAATTTCTCATGATCGTACAATCGACACTGGTTTTGACACGCACGCACGCACGCACGCACGCACGCACGCACGCACGCACACACGAACGCACTCACGAACGCTGCCGGACATGAAAATACAATATACATTCGCTTGGTGATATAAGTTAACACAGATGGGAATTTACCACAATCGGTCATCATATGGTAATATAAGTATGAAAGTAAAAACATGCACACCATTGAAAAACAACTACAATTGTGTCTCAGAAAAATCCACAAATGGTCGCTTGTTTTCGGCTTCAAGTTTTCTAAAACTAAAACTAATCGTATACACTTCTAGTAAACACCAGAAACTATAGTCAGCACAAGGTCCCATAACTACTTATATTTGGGACTCCCATCAACGTAGTTGAGGAGGCCAAGTTCTTAGAGCTTATTTTATACTGTCACCTGAAAGTATCTCAAGGGAAAGTGCCTGAAAGCACTAGACTTGCTGAAAGTCGCGATCGTATCCAACTCTAAGTGGGGCGGGGATCAGACAACCCTTCTCCATTTGTTCAGATCACTGATACGCTCAAAATTAGTTTACGGTTCCATCAGTTGCTTGATAACGATGTTAGAACGTACACCGAAACGTCGCTTCTAATTGATATAAATAAGTTGTTAATCCATATATCTTATCCTTACTTAGCCTTGGGATATATTCAGAAACAAAATGCATGTAAAAACTTCATCATTTTCTCTAATTCTTTATCATGTCTACAGGCACTTAAAATGTCCGCTCAAATCATCCACAAAGTCTTGATATTTTAGAATTACACATTACTCTGGCCACAGGCCTATACTACATCGTTCATTGTTGGTTACCAAGTCGAATCATGTCTCTTACATTTCAATTCCCTACAGTGCTTTTAAACCATGCATGGGGGAATATGTGCAAGGTTTGGTGCAGAAAAGATAGGACACTTGGCCCCGGGATCTTGAAAGTGGTCTTAGTTCAAATTTTGCTAAGCGCGAATTTTGTCTTAAGTTTTTAAGATTTTGCTTGGCTAAGATTCGGTCTAAGACTGGATCTTGAAAATCTTAGCTAAGTCTAAGTCTAAGACCGTCGCCATAGGGTGAGGTGAGGTGAGGTGAAATTGGGTTTAACGTCGCGTCCAAGATTATTGCACTTATATAGCGACGTGCATGCACGTGTGTGTCTGTGGCTGCTTGTACTAGTCCGGACTGATGCCGATTTATAGTGCTAGCTCACTGAGATACCATGCCGCAGTTTAACATGAATACCCCACTCAGACACAGTATACTGACTCCGAGCCGACCAGTCCTTGTTTTAGCCCCTTAATGTCGAGCGCCAGACAGGGTAACAACAAGTACCATCTTTTAACGTCTTTTGGTATGACGCGGCCGGGGATCGAACCCCGGACCTTCCGCTCTCCGGGCGGACGCTCTACCACAAGACCACGGAGGCGGCGTCGTCGCCATAGGGACGGGCGCACGTTAAACCGTACTACGGTAATCATTGGATGCCGAGGGTTTTTTTTCTGACGTACATATACCTAATTATAAGATCGGAAAAGTGAAGGTTGTGCGAGAATTGCGCTCAAAAATATAAAATTACGCAGAGATGTAGAATATTAAATTTCCTATCTGATGGTGTAAATCTGACTGTAAATATTAAACCAGTTTGAAAAAAAGACACTGCTAAATTTTGTCCGAGAATTTATTCTGCGTTGAAAAACAGGAAAATTCTCCTCGTGTTAGCGAACACCGATAAAAGTACTGGGCGACGATTTTTTTTATTTAGCAGTTTTACCGAAACTGTGAGAGAACAAAATACCGCTAAATATTTGAAAGACATAACTACATATCAAATGGAGTTATATGCGTGTGTATAACGACATAAATTGA